AATCTGTGGAAAAACGTTCACTACTTGAAAATCTTTTTTTATTCAGATGGTTGGAAAACAACAGTTGTAAGTACTGTTAAAAGATCTGAGGTTTTCAAAGATCGCCATGCTATTATTTTTAGAAAAATCAGAGGCTAATCTCTGTGACTCTAATGTAGGTTGATACATGAGCAGGCACATACTGGGGCTAGGTTTACAGTACGTCTTGTGTTTCAAAGAGGTTTTACAGAAAGCTTGAACTAAAGTGGAAGTAAAGAAACCATGAGGTTTTCTGCTTCACTTGGCTGGATGGTTTACAAAAGCATCAGGACATCTACATTTTCATGCTTAATTAACAACAACAATAATCCTTGCTTTATTTCAAAGGCTGCAGGTCAATTTACTCAAGAACACTTAAACCTGCTTTTAGCCTAGATTATTTAATGGATTTGGGATGACATAATGAAATCTAAGATAAGTGGTACATCTCCCACTGCAACTCTGATGAAGAGATTTCTACTGAAACATAAGGATTGTAGTGATTTATCTCATTAATAGACTGAATTGGCCTGTCAGTGTAAATAAACCCACTCATTGTTTTAATCACACTCTTGACCTCGTTCTATCGTATGGCATTGATATTGAACGTTTAATTGTCTTCCCACAAAATCCTTTTCTATCTGACCATTATTTAATAACTTTTGAATTCATATTACTAGATTATAAGCCATTAGGCCAAACGTCCTACAGCAGATGTCTATCTGACAGTGCTAAATTTAAGGAGGAGATTCCATCAGTGCTTAATTCAATGCCATGTCTGAATATAATAGAGGACTCCTATAATAACTTTAGTCCCTCCCAAATTGATAATCTCGTTAATAGTGCTGCAGGCTCACTGCAAACAACTCTAGATTCTATTGCCCCTAATAAAAAGGAAAATATTAAAACATAGGAGGCCAGCACCGTGGTACAACCACCAAACCCGCAGATCTAAAAGGAAATGGCGCTCTTCCAAACTAGTAGAATATCACTGAATTGGGCAAGATAGTCTTAAAATATATAGAAAGGCCCTCCGTAATGCCAGAGGAGCCTATTATTCAGCACTAATAGAAGAAAATAAGAACAACCCCAGGTTCCTCTTCAGCACTGTAGCCAGGCTGACAGAGATTTACAGCTCTATTGAGCCACATATCCCCATAACCCTCAGTAGCAATGACTTTATGAGCTTCTTTTATGATAAAAATGATTACTATTAGAGACAAAATTAGTCACCAAGTTCCCTCAACAGGTATCGCTGTCTCTCCAAGTTCAGGAACTTTAACAAATCTAAAATCAGATTTATATTTACACTGTTTTTCTGCTACTTAACTTAAATAATTTCTACATCGAAGCTATCAACCTGTCCCTTAGACCCCATCTCAAGTAGGCTGCTTAAAGAAGTCTTACCCTTAGTTGGCACTTCTTTACTGGATATGATCAATCTTTCTTTATTGTCAGGATATGTACCACAGTCCTTTAAAGTAGCTGTAATTAAACCCCTTCTTAAAAAGCCCACTCTTGACCCAGGGGTTTTAGCCAACTATAGACCGATTTCTAACCTCCCCTTCCTCTCTAAGATTCTGGAGAAAGTAGTCGCCAAACAGTTGTGTGACTTTCTATATAACAACAGCTTAAGGCCTGGACACACCAACCCGATTATCGGCCGTCAGACGTCGTCGGACAGTCAGGCGAGGTCGGTGACTCGAGTCGGTTCGGTGTGTCCCGTGCCGTCGTCAGTCGGCGTCGGTGTTCATTTTGGCCGATTCGACATGTAGAATTGGCCAGTGGCTGTCGGCCTCAATGACCAATCTGATTGGTGGAGTGCTAGCCCTTGACTAGCGAATCAGTGAGTGCACGAGAAAACCGGAAGGGACGATGGTACTACGCCAACGCCAGTATCTTGTTATTATTAGCCATCGTATTTTCCGTTCAGCGAGTAATGACAATAACGATCCTTCTTGACTACTATCAACACTCTCTGATGAAAACAATGACTGACGACAGCGTGCTCTGTGTTTATTAGGTCTAGAGTGATGCGTCATTTCTGGTTTTCATTTTTTTGGGCGACAACACAGATTAGCGCCGCCTGCTGTTATGGGGATGTATTATGCCTCAAGCACACGCAGAACTTACTCTCCAGTCGGCGTCGGTTTGGTGTGTTCAGAGGCACTTTTTTGACCAACTCGGGGAGACGGGAGTCGACGGCAGTCGGCCGTCGGGTTGGTGTGTCCTGGCCTTTATTTGAGGATTTTCAGTCAGGATTTAGAGTTCATCACAGTACAGAGACAGCTCTGGTTAAAGTTAATAATGACCTTTTAATTGCTTCCAACAATAGACTTGTCTCCGTACTTGTATTGTTAGATCTTAGTGCTGCATTTGACACCATTGACCATCATATTCTATTCTATTACAGAGACTTCATGCATCAAATTGGCATCAAAGGAACCGCACTAAGCTGGTTTAAGTCCTATTTATCAGATCACTCTCAGTTTGTGCGCTTTAATGATGAATCCTCCATAAACAAGTCAGTCATGGAGTTCCAAAAGGTTCTGTGCTTGGACCAATTCTATTCACTTTATATATGCTTCCCTTAAGCAATATAATTAGGAATCACTCGATTAACTTTCACTGTTGCTGCATGCAGATGATACCCAGTTATATCTATCGATCAAGCCCGATCAAATTAATCAGTTATCTAACTTACAAGCATGTCATAAGGACATAAAAACCTGGATGAGCTGCAATTTTCTGATGTTAAACTCAGAAAAAAGTTCTTGTACTTGGCCCCAGACACCTCCAAGACTCACTGTCTAAAGATATAGTTACTGTAAATGGCATTACCTTGGCTTCCAGCACCCCTGTCAGGAATCTTGGAGTTATCTTCGATCATATGTCCTTTAATTCCCACATACAGCAAACCTCTAAGTTGCCTTTTTTCATTTACATAACATTACAAAAATTAGACACATTCTATCACAGACAGATGCAGAAAAACTAATCCACGCATTTGTTAATTCTAGGCTGGATTACTGCAGTTCCTTATTATCAGGCTGTCCCAATAAGACCATTAAGACGCACCAATTAATTCAGAACGCTGCAGCACGAGTACTGACAGGAACTAAGAAAAGAGATCATATTTCTACTGTATTAGCTTCTCTGCACTGGCTCCCTGTAAAATTCAGAATAGAATTTAAAATCCTCCTGCTCACCTACAAACCTCTTCATGGCCAGGCCTCTTCATATCTTAAAGAGCTCATAGCACCCTATTACCCCACTCTTAATGCAATGCATGTTACTAACTTCCCTTTTCCCCCAGAGTTCTATTATTATTATTACTACAGTTACTATTTTTACTATTATCATTGCTCATTGTCCCCCAGCAATGTTGTCGTCGTCATCATCTTTTTCATGTTCATCATCATCATCACCATCAGTCACTACTATTAGTGTAGTTGTTACTACTGTTATTGCTGTGCACCTTTGTCTCTGTCTCTGTCCTTCTGTCTTTACCTCTTTCTCCTGTGTCCTGAGATAACTTCTGTTATGAATTGGCGCTATACAAATAAAATTGAATTGAATTGAATTGAGTACACCAGCAAGTACTAACATTAAATGCCACATAACAGCAACGTCCAAGGTCCAATTCCGGACAGGGACCTTTGTTGTGTATCATACCTCCTGATCCCTCAATCTAAAATCCCATAATTAATTTTTCAAAATCAGATGGTCTGTAATAATTAATTCAGTGTCATTTTTCTCTCTGCTCCAATAACACTTGAGCAAACCTCATTCAATTTCCTTCTTTCCTATACTTAGGTATGCTAGGTGCTAGGCTAATCTTTGTTGAATAGACAACCACATTTTGAAGATGGTTATTATTATTTATGAAGATAAAAGTGACATATAATCACATCTTAAGTGAGCTAAAGTTAGCAAAGAACTAGCTAACTAATCTATCAATTGTTAGCTAGCTAGTTACAGCTGATAAAAAACTGCTGAGCCTGGATACATAGCCCGGTCACCTGGCTCTGGCTCTGCATGATGCCGCTTTTCCCGGCAGTTCAAAGCTCTGATGCTAGTGGTGTAAACACCTACCAGAGCAGTACGGCTAAGTTAACGAGCCAACAACAGCTACATTTTGCAGCAGTTACTTTACTGTCTGTCTATTTTCTCCATAAAATATGATCCAGTTTCACCAAAATCAGTGACATAGTTGGTGGTGTGTGACTGCTGCCGTAAAGCATTATGCACTTTTTCTGACCGAGAGACAAAAGTTACATAGTGCAAGAACAGACGTACACCGTGCAGAATGGGAATGTCAGAGGCTCCATTCACTCAATTACAACTAAGTGTAGCAAAATGATAGTGAAACTGTTTTATGGTAGAAAAGTTACATAATGGGGTTTTAATGTGGTTAGAGTCAAAAGTCAAAGGCAATCGTTAACCTACTGGGCATTTGTGAGTGTGGCCTACATGATTTATTTATGAAATTATTGTGTTTACTGACCCTGTTACTGGCCCTTGCTGCCCAACAACCAGCTGTCCCACCGGGATTCTTCCTGTTTTAAGACACTCCGGGCCTGCCATCAGGCTTCATCTGCCTTCTGGGAGCAGTGAACAGGGCCCCCACGGCCAAATCTGTTGAAGAAAATAAGTTGTTGGCTCAGTCCCTGTTACTAAAGGTCTTTGGGCTTTTGCAGTCAGAGCCTGTAAGATCTGTGGCTTGCAGAATCAGGTACATCTTTAAATCCCTTTTTATTAAGCTAAAAGCTTAATAAAAAGTTTTATGTGTTTTATTTCTGCAATATACCAATTTGATCTTATTTTATTGTATTTTGGTTATTTTACTCTGTTTTATTCACTTTATTTGCTGGATTTTATTGTTTTTTAACAAAGATTTCTCTGTAGAGCACACACTTTATTTTGAAATGTGCTATACAAATAAAGTTTATTCATTATTATTATTATTATTATTATTATTGTTATTATCATAATTATTATAGAGAACCACATGTGGATTAATGCACTGCTGAAAATGGTAATGTAATATAAGTTAAATGACTAGCTTTGCTACGTTTTAATTTGATGCAGATTTATTATCACCATCCTCATTATCATAAAGAACAATCCTGACTGTTTTGACTGACTGTGACTAACAGAAGACAAAAACTGTATTTTTAGAGGCGGATGTAGACAAATACTCATGGCGTGTCCAGAGGGTGGCATGGAGACTTTAAGGGCTGGCAGAAATATATGCTGATTTAATCTCAAACAATGACATATATCAATATTTGCTTGGAGAATCAGAACCATCAGAAATACTCCCTGTGGGGAAAAGTGGTTGCGCCACAGTTGCTCAAGTTGCTAAATGAAGAGAATTATAAGAAATAGAAATAAGAAGAAGAAAGTTTAAATAATATAATTATATAACAATATATAACAACAATATATATAGAAAATAGAAAATAAGAATACATTTGTAAAAATACATACATTATACTACAGGAAATGACAACAATGTAAAGAAAAGAGAAAAAAAGGAACCAAGGAAATGTATTTATCATAAAAATAGCACATGGTTGTATAACTAAATAAAAGTAGTTCCTTCATACACAAAGAAAAAGATCAATCAAATTCACAGAATAACATAAAGAAATCAATATATAGTTATTTACATATATTTTTCTTTCGGCCACAGCATCTGAACATGTAGCCATTGCCATAGTCAAATACGACATTCAAAAATTGTGGGGAAGCAAACATCTTTTGGTTTAAGTCTACCAGCAACTTCCAATCACGTGTCCCGCTCACCTGCCCAGCATCTGGTCTTGAGGTGGTGAGACTGGCCTGACCTTCGCTCTCCCGGACAAATGTTGTCTGCAGTGGGATGATGGGGGTTGAAGGGCGTTCACACTCATCCGTAGCGTTTCCAGCACTGCTGCAATACACTTTAACACCTGGTTGTGTCGCCAGGTATAACGGCCTTGGGTGAGGCTGGTCTTGCAGCCAACTAAGCATGTGTGGTCTTCGCCATACCACTGGCTGAGGTTCTTGGGAGATGCCAGGACATCGTAGGCAGCCTTGATGGTGAAGCTTGCTCTGAATGCCTCCATTTCCCATAGCTCTTGCCAGGAGATCCTCCTCTTCTCCACTCCTTCCCATGTTATCCACTGCCCTTGCTTCGCCTGCGAGATAGCTTTTGTGCACCTGTCTGCCTCCTCTTGCCGACGTACCTCTTGCACCACTCCTCCCCTGCTGCACTTGGCCCACGATGTCCCTGTGCCTGAGTGCTGCTTTTGCCTGCTCTGTTGCAGCCGATGGGGTCCACTTCCTCCTAGTAACGAGGATGGGGGCAGCTTGGGCTACAAATGGATCGCCTAAATCCAAAAGCATGATTTCCAGACTTACTTTGGTGCACTTGTACTCCTCAGATAAGCTGGAAATGGGCAGATCTAAAACTCCTTTGCTGTAGAGCCCATTAGTGCTGAGGCACTTGGGAAGATCAAGCCACTTCCTTGCATAGGAGCTAACCAGTCTCTCTAGCTTTTCCACCTTTGAGATTGGAACTTCGTATAGGTTGAGTGGCCCCATGAGGCGTGGAAGTAGCCCAAATTGCATGCACCAGAGCTTCAACGTGCCAGGAAGCAGGGTTCTGTCAATGTTCTCCAGACCGCTGATTACGTCCTTCCTGAGCTGATCTACTTACTCCTTGTCTTTGAGGGAGGCATCATACCATCGACCTAGGCTCTTCAAAGGCTTCTTGGAGACAGTTGGAATAGCCTCATCACCAATGGGAAAGTGTTGGTCTGACAGTTTACCCTTGATGGTGGAGATGCTTCTGGACTTGCTCGGCTTGTTCTTCATGCGAGCCAGCTCCATGTTTTCTTGCAGCTTTCTCAGCAGCCATACAGTACAAGTCTTGGTTGTGGTAAGTGTTGTGAGGTCATCCTATGTAGGCTCTGACAGGCGGCAGCCTCAGGCCAGGTCTTATTCGCTGTCCTCCAACCACCCATCGAGATTCCCTAATGATCACCTCCATAGCCATGGTAAAGGCCAGTGGGGAGATGGTGCAGCTGGCCATGATTCCCACCTCCAGGTGCTGCCATGCTGTGGTGTACTCTGCTATTGTGAAGCAGAGCTGGACGTCCTGGAAGTAGGCCTTGACAAGGGTTGTGAGAGCTGCTGGGACCCTGAAGAAGTCAAAGGCTGTCCACAGAAGGTTGTGTGGGACTGAGCCAAGGGCGTTCGCAAGGTCCAGGAAAACCACATGAAGATCTGTTCCCTCCTTCTTGGCGACCTGGATCTGATGCCAGATAACACTAGCATGTTCCACACAACCGGACATAAATATAAATATGAGTACATAAATGAGTAAGAAAAAAGATTTTTCTTGTTGTTTATTTTCCTGTCTGATAATCCATAAATAAAATCAATCAATCAATCAATTATATAATATTCATGTGTTTTTTATGTTTCTCAAATTTAATGTGAAAATGTTTTGCTCCTCGCTTTGGACAAAACAATTAGTGAACTGTGGAAACTAGATGTTTTGTTCTTATCTTGGTCAGAGTGCTCTCGTCCACTCTCTTACCTAAGAGAAGAGCAAAAGCATAGCTGCCAACTTTTCAAAAAACCTTGGAGTGAGATTTTGTCGGGGGTGACCAAAATTATGCCGCGCACGCAGCCACACAAGTTGGTGATTCAGATATCAGAGAATTGGAATTCATTTGATGTTGTACCCATGTTGTACCCTGCATTCTGGTGGTTTGTGGGGAGACCCAAAGCCGCTGATAGGGACAGCCTACTGGAGATGGACAATATTAGTTACATTCTGAGAAGCAGACATAGCTGAAGGTCCACCCCCAGGAAATTTTGGATTAAGTAGATGTGATTTCCTGCATTCTAGTGGATTTTTGGGTGGTCTGCTAAAGATATGCACTACCTGAACTTATTCTGATTCATGTTCGGCATCATGACTTGTAGGGCTTTCTAGCTTTTCAATTCAATTCAATTCAATTCAATTCAATTCAATTCAATTCAATTTTATTTGTATAGTGCCAATTCATAACAGAAGTTATCTCAGGACACTTTTCAAATAGAGCAGGTCTAGACCGAACTCTTTATAAAATTATTTACAGAGACCCAACAGTACCGCCATGAGCAAGCACTTGGCGACAAGGGCAAGGAAAAACTGCCTGTTAAAAGGCAGAAACCTAGGACAGACCCTTCGGCTCTAGGTGGGTGGTCGTCTGTCTCGACCAGTTGGGGTGAGAAGAGAGAGAGAGAGAGAGAGAGAGAGAGAGAGAGAGAGAGAGAGACAGACAGACAGAGACAGAGAGAGAGACAAACAGACAGACAGGTGCACAGCAACAACAGTATTGGCAATGGCAATCTAGCAGGACCATGGCAGGAGGCTCCACCAGGATCAATAAGAACCTGCGAGACGAGAAAGCACAAGAACTCTGGGGAAGAAGTGAAGTTAGTAACATGCATTAATGGAACATGAATGAGTGCAGAAAGAGAGAGGAAGAGAGGAGCTCAGTGCACCATGGGAAATCCCCCGATAGTCTAGGCCTATAGCAGCATAACTAAGGGATGGTTCAGGACTCACCTGATCCAGCCCTAACTATAAGCTTTATCAAAGAGGAATGTCTTAAGCCTACTCTTGAATGTGGTGAGGGTGTCTGTGTCAGTACTCGTGCTGCAGTGTTTTGAATTAATTGGAGCGTCTTAATGGACTTATTGGGGCAACCTGATAATAAAGAGTTGCAATAATCCAGCCTAGAAGTAACAAATGCATGGATTCGTTTTTCTGCATCTGTCTGTGACAGGATGTGTCTAATTTTTGTAATATTACGTAAATGAAAGAAGGCAGTCCTAGAGGTCTGCTTAAGTGGGAATGACATGTCCTGATCAAAGATAACTCCAAGATTCCTGACAGTGGTGCTAGAGGCCAAGTTAATGCCATCTAGAGTAACTATATCTTTAGACAGTGAGTCTCTAAGGTTTTTGGGGCCAAGTACAAGAATTTCGTTTTTTTCTGAGTTTAACATCAGAAAATTGCAGCTCATCCAGGATTTTATCTCCTTAAGACATGTTTGTAATTTAGATAATTGATAAATTTCATTGGGCTTGATTGATAGATATAGAACTGTGTATCATCTGCATCCTAATAATGTTGACTAACTATAGTATTTATTGAAGATTCATCGTTAACATGTACAAACTGCGTACGATCTGATAAATATGACCTAAACTAGCTTAGTGCGGTTCCTTTAATGCCAATTTGATGCTCAAGTCTCTGTAAAAGAATATTATGGTCAATGGTGTCAAATGCGGCACTAACATCTAATAATAGTAAGTAAGTACTATTATACTTTATATAAGTACAGAGACAAGTCCATTGACTTGAGCTGAACATTCAACTAGAAAACTATTGTTGTGCCTAAATGACTGCCTGTATCACAATAAAGCCTTATTCGTAGACCAGTGTTTAAGATTGGACCTAGGTACCTGTAGGTTGATTGATATTTTGATTAGAATGGTGTTAAACTGTGAGTAAATAAACAATGCAATGAGCTGATATTTTGAGCATGCAGTATACCACCAGGTTAACAAGGTGCTCTAGTGCTGCTTGTTATGACAGATTTCACCACACTAAATCATGTTCACACGCACAAACAAATCATTTATATCAAGATTTAAAGTTTAAGAGAGTGAGTACTCAATTGGACGACATTTCATTGTTACATACCTAGTCCCAGCTCAGATCAAGGACAACATTTTGATTTCAGAGGTGGGGGGGGGCACGAGTAGATATTTTTTTAAAGTTATTATTTTGGCCTTTTGATGGCTTTATTTATAGAGACAGCTGTGGGGAGACAGGGGTGGTGGGTGGAGAGAGAGGGAATGACATGCAGCAAAGGGCAGCAGGTTGGATTTGATCCCGAGCTGCTGCAGCGACTATATAACTGTATATGGGTCGCCAGCTCTACCGGCGGGCGCCCTGTCACACAATAGTAGTTCTTCTAGTTTTCTGTTGCTACTGTTACGTTTACTGTTCCCTTTGACTGGTTGTAAAGCATGTAAATGTAAATATAGAAAAAACATTCTGGACACACGCACGCACATGCGCACATGGACACCGATTCAAACGTTAATGTAAATGAAACCTCTGATGTTACCTGGGCAACTCCAGCAGACCGGTGTGCAAGCAAGATGGAGTGACAGCGGGGACGGCCAATCACACAAGAAACGGCAGAGCCAATCGAGGAGCTTGTGGGCGGGTCTAAACTAAGGGTAACAGGCTTCAGCTGGAGCGGCCGTTTTCCTCTTGGTCCTAGTGCTTGACGAGTCTCTGTTTACTATAGCGTAACATTGTTTTTGGACGGTACAAACTGCAGGGAACCGAAACGGCCCAACATCGGATTTTTTTAGTGTGAGAAATTGGATGTGTGGCGTGAGTGCGTGTGAAAACAGGCAAATGCGTGAGTCAAACGGTGAAAGCGTGAGAGTTGGCAGCTCTGGCAAAAGGAAGAAAACATTCGTGGATACGAACAAAAATCAAATTAAACGTGTTCTCACAACGCTTTATTATTGAAGCCCATGTCCATGTCAATGTGATGGGGAAACGGATTCTGTAAGACGTTATAATGAGAAACTTTCTCAAAATATTGACTTAGTATGTCAAAAATAATGAAAACATTTCTCAATGTTTTGACTTGGTATCTCAAATAATGACTTTGTGATACAAACTCATTATTTTATTATGAGATGCTAAGTCAATATTGTGAGAAGTTGTCTCATTATAAAGAGTTACAGAACCTTTTGGAATACTCACATGAGCGGGTAATGACCGTGCCCCCACGCGCTCGTACAAAGCTCCTCGTTCGTGTGTCTCTGCTGACAGTGTGCGGCCGCGCGCTGCCATCACAGCTACCAGCGCACAGTAAACAACCCGACGTCACTTCCGCTTTCAGGTTGACAGCAAAACAACAGAAGCAGGAGCGATAAAAACATCACAAACCAAGGAAACATTTCTGGAAAGCAGCTACTGTTACAGAATGAAGGTAAGAGAGAGTGCTTGGTTTATTTCAGCCGCTAATGGCGACCGCTGAGACAAGGCGCTGTGCTGTGACACAGCTGGGGTTCAGTAACGGTACCAGTCTGTCAATAAACACAATAGCAGCTGCAGTTTTTCAAAGCGAGCTGACGTTATGATAATAATATGATGTAAAATGAACTGCTGTGCTGTACTGTAAAATATGAGTGTGCTGTTCATACACAGCTTAACTGCGAGCACACAGCCTATTGCGTGCAGTAGTTCAGCAGGGTGACAGATAGTGTGGCAGTAATATCAGGTGGATGAATTTGTCCTCTTGCTGTCATAATAAAATGATGATGATGGAATAGTTTCCCTGAGAGGCTGGAGTGTTCCTGAGAAATCATTTAAAGCTGCAGTAGGTAATTTTTATAAAAATATTTTTTGTCATATAAACTGAAACTTTCACTATATCCTGACAGTAGAACATGAGACAGATAATCTGTGAAACAATCAGGTTCCTCTGGCTCCTCCTAATGCTCCTAATGGTATTTACAAGAATCCACTGGGCCTGAAGGAAAACAACCAATCAGAGCCAAGAAAGATAGTAGATTGTGGGGTCGTCAAATACCAATAATTTGGATCAAAAATGAACACAAACATATATTCTGACAGTTACAGCATTTATATAGTTTTTTTGTTTTGTTTTACTTTATGTTACCTTAAGCTTACTTTGGATATACACAAGTTAAAGACTGCCGTCCAAGGAATGACTTTTTATTGCCACTTTTCCAACTGTCACATTCAGGAAATAGTTGGCTATATTGTTTTTTATTTTATTTTATTTTCTTTCCTTCTTTCTTTCTTTCTTTCTTTCTTTAAATCTGTGAATCTGTAAAAGTGTGAAATTATAAAAGCTAAATAGGATTTTTATATATTATATTGTTTATTATTCAGTTGTTACTTTGGCCAGAGGCATTGTTTTTTTTTTTGGGGGGGAGCATAGAGGACACCTTCTCCTCAGTATTTAGAACTAGAGCCTGACCGATTTTAGAGGGGAAAAATTCTGATTACCATAGGATTCAGCATAGGCTTATTAGGCTGTCACTGGCCTGAGATCAGTGGGGAAGCTTCTCTGTCACACGTCACGTCACTAAGGTACTCAGAAGACTGTTTTCTTAAAAAGATAACTTTGTCAACCAGTTCTAGCTGCTGAGAGCTGCTTCTGCCACAGTATTGTAAATGACAGCACTTTGCTGTGTATATATATATATATATATATATGATATATTTATTTAATATATATGTAGCATTGTTTCTGTATTATACACGGGGAACAAACAGTTTTCATATTGGCCCATATTGGATAACATATATACTGATACAATTCAATTCAATTCAATTTTATTTGTATAGCGCCAATTCATAACAGAAGTTATCTCAGGACACTTTTCAAATAGAGCAGGTCTAGACCGAACTCTTTATAACATTATTTACAGAGACCCAACAGTACCACCATGAGCAAGCACTTGGCGACAAGGGCAAGGAAATACTGCCTGTTAAGAGGCAGAAACCTAGGACATATCCTTTGGCTCTAGGTGGGTGGTCGTCTGTCTCGACCAGTTGGGGTGAGAGAGAGAGAGAGAGAGAGAGAGAGAGAGACAGACAGACAGACAGACAGACAGGTGCACAGCAACAACAGTAGCAACAACCACACTAATAGTAGTGACTGACGACGACAACAGCAACGATGGGGACAACGAGCAGCGACAACAGCAACAACAGTAACCGTAGCAATAATAATACTAATAATAATAATAACACTAATATCAGTAATATTAGCAATGGCAGTCAAGCAGGACCATGGCAGGAGGCTCCACCAGGATCCATGAGAACCTGTGAGACAAGAAAGCACAAGAACTCCAGGGAAGAAGTTTAGTTAGTAACATGCATTAATGGGACATGAATGAGTGCAGAAAGAGAGGGAGGGGATGAGAGGAGCTCAGTGCATCATGGGAAATCCCCCGATAGTCTAGGCCTATAGCAGCATAACTAAGGGTTGGTTCAGGACTCACCTGAGCCAGCCCTAACTATAAGCTTTATCAAAGAGGAATGTCTTAAGCCTACTCTTGAATGAGTAGAGTGTAATGAGTCTTAAACAAGTAGCCCTGCATTCAGAGAACGTAGTGTTCTAGTGGGGTAATAGGGTAGTATGAGCTCTTTAAGATATGAAGGGGCCTGACCATGAAGAGCTTTGTAGGTGAGGAGGAGGATTTTAAATTCTATTCTAAATTTTACAGGGAGCCAGTGCAGAGAAGCTAATACAGGAGAGATGTGATCTCTTTTCCTAGTTTGTGTCAGTACTCATGCTGCAGCGTTCTGAATTAATTGGAGCTTCTTAATGGACTTATTGGGGCAACCTGATAATAAGGAGTTGCAGTAATCCAGCCTTGAAGTAACAAATGCATGGATTAGTTTTTCTGCATCCGTCTGTGACAGGATGTGTCTAATTTTTGTAATATAACGTAAATGAAAGAAGGCAGTCCTAGAGGTCTGCTTTATGTGGGAATGACATGTCCTGATCAAAAATAACTCCAAGATTCCTGACAGCGGTGCTAGAGGCCAAGGTAATGCCATCTAGAGTAACTATATCTTTAGACAGTGAGTCTCTGAGGTTTTTTGGGGCCAAGTACAATAATTTCGTTTTTTTCTGAGTTTCACATCAGAAAATTGCAGCTCATCCAGGATTTTATGTCCTTAAGACATGTTTGTAATTTAGATAATTGATTAAATTTATCTGGCTTGATCGATAGATATAACTGCGTATCATCTGCATAGCAAGTTAATGGAGTAATTCTTACTAATGTTGCCTAAAGGGAGCATATATAAAGTAAATAGTATTGGTCAAAGAACAGAACCTTGTGGAACTCCATGACTATTTATGGAAGATTCATCGTTAACGTGTACAAACTGAGAACGGTCTGATAAGTATGAGATAAGTATTAGAGTGAAAGGGGAGGTTAGAAATCGGTCTATAGTTGGCTAAAACCCCTGGGTCAAGAGTGGGCTTTTTAAGAAGGGGTTTGATTACAGCTACTTTAATACAGTACTGATATGTCTGCAATAGGCCAGTTTCGGCTGATAATATAAAAAAACCTCACTGACTTCAAGGTCAGGGAACCGTAGGGGCTAAAATGCTTACTCAGTTTTTAGGACTCATTCCTGCAGCACCATATGGAGCATTATGGAGATAGTGTTCCTATAACTTTGAGGCTAGCTTAAGGGGATGTCAGTTATTCTATGTTTGAGGTGTGAGACTCCACGAAAAACATTTTTTGTCAATCCATGTGTGAAAGTCAAAAGTTTTGTGAGCAGTTTAAACATTGGCAGTACATATAATGGACAGAGCTTCTGGCTCTGTGAAGTGAAGCCAATGAGGAAGTTTCTTAATCCTGCATTTTTTCTAATGGCCAGCAAGGGGCAGCTCCATGGGCAAGTCAGATAGAACTGAGTCTAATGGAGAAATTTGCCGACTTCTGACTTAATTTATTGGATCAGTACACAGTTTCCTAATGAGTTTATGGTCTCAGTCTCTCGTTTCAGTCTTCTTCTATATAGCATGATGTCCATTTAGCAGATTATAGTCTTATTTAGAGTAAATGCAGAGTATGCTTTGCCTGGTTACCTTGTGATTGACAGGTCATTCTCAGTCAAACTCAGATCAAACTGTCAAACTAGGCAGTGCTGATAAAATATGAATCAAGATTCTGTTACTGCATTACCGGCATGGCAACATTAATTAAAAACTCTCTGTGTCTCTTTCAAGAAACTCAGGAATAGCTGCACACTTTGATGTGGACTGCTTCTTTTGGGACCATTTATTCTTCAGTAAATTATTAAATGTTTTTTAATAACTATTTGCACTTTATAATATGAACAGTTCATGCTGTCTTTCAGGTGCTGAGTTCACAGCAGGAGACAGAGGAGGAGAGGAGCTTATCTCCTGTAGACTGCAACAACCACCACAGCTGTGAGGACAGAGAACAGGAGGAAGTTCCCCAATACAACCAAGAGGAACACCCACATGGTGAGGAACCACATGATGCTAATAATGTTTCATCTTAATATAATGTCACTGTTTACTGTCCATACCACTGGTGCAAAGTCAAAGATTTGAAAAGAAAGGAATGTCCATCAAATTTGGATGAATTGGTGTTGAGCACTAAGCAGGATGGAGCAGGTCTCTGTAAAGATGTGGACACAACAGTCTCTGATTTCCCGTTTGTTTGGCCAGCCTGAGTCCCAAAAAATGGACATTAGCCTGGAGCAGCCTTAAGTCCAAGCTGGGCTAGAACGGCTCCTATCGGCTCTCTTCCTCTCTTCTTGGGGCGACCACAGCACCTGCCAGGGTGCACTGTCACTAAGTCACTACGTGAGCTCGCCTTTCCTGTTATTTTTTGCAGTGTAAAATTAGTAAAGTCAGTAAATTCGTAAAATTGGGAAATTATGGATGGATTTGTTTTCAAACGTTGGATAACTTTTTTAAACAACAACAACCAGCAGATTGCTCTGCTTTTAAAACACCAGTGGTGAGTTATATTGAATAATAATATAATAATAATAAATATATTTTAATAATCTGGTCGATTAGGAAACTGTGCTGACTTTGACGTGTTCTGTGTGTCCTCGGCTGTCTCAGGCTCTCTCTCTCTTTAAGTTGCATATCTGATCTGCTGCTGATGTGTTCTGACTTTGCAGCTGTTGTGGTCTGGGTAGACTAACGTGCTGTTTTAGGACAACTCTGTGTCAAATGTGCAGTGTCTGTGTGCCCACCCTGGTTAATGCTCAGCGCCTCCTGTATCTGCTGTATCTAACATTATGGGCTTATCACACATGGTGTGCTTTACTGTCTGCTAGATACTTGTCATTGTGGTGGAAAAGGTATTCATATCAAAATGATCAATTATCATTTATCAACTCGTTATGAATTATGTCAATGTGTTGGTAAAATATAATTATAGGATTGAGATCCTCTGTCTACCTCTACAGCTTACAACACGTTTTTCATTCATATGCGATGTCTGACTGTGATACTCTGTGAGCTCTGAATTAATGTAAATTTGTGTGAAGAATGATAGTATGAAGTTTAATTGTAACTTAGAGTCAAATGCTCACAGTTGTGTAAGTTTATGATAAAATGTATTTATTCGTCATTGGGAGAAGCCTTTGCATCCATCCGCCATGTTGAACCGCCATGTTTCTACAGTTGCTCAGAAGGGAGAAACCAAATGCCATTGTAGTTTCTCCTTTGCGTATTGAAAGGGAGTGAGTTGTGATTTTGCACTTAACCACTAGATGCCACTTAGGGCCTGTCCACACGAATACGCTTTAAAAAATATTTTTAGAAAATACCGTTTTCACACCCCGAAAACGCCGTATCCGTCTGGACGCCAGGACGCTACGATAAAGTATTTATCCGGATTCGAGAAAAACTTATTCGTGAGGACAGGCCCTAAATCCTACACACTGCACCTTTAAAAGATGTTTTTGTACCATTGACTACTGACTACAACTGAGTGCCACCCATGGCTGCTTTGTGGATTAGTTTATATAATAGCTTTCTCTGTTGTGGGCACTCTGTTCCCTCAAAGGTCAGCACTATCAAGACGGTTTGCAATAGGTCAACAGCGTGAATTTGCATGTTTTTGTTTGCAGTTTCTTTGTAGTTTAATAAAGACATTTTTAAAATAAATAAATTTTGTCTCTCTGCCTCTGTCTCCCTGTTTGTCTTTCTGTCTCTCTGCCTGTCTCAGACACAAATAAAGACCACCCCAGGCAAGAAGGAGGAGTCATGTGGAGAGTGGGTGGCGGCCTGTTCGGCATGACACGAAACGTCGTTGGCGCAACCCTGGGGGGTGTTGCATGGGTAGGAACTAAAAGTTTTGAGCTCACTAAGACAGCTGTGACCAGCGTGCCGGCAGCCAGCGTAGGATTGGTCAAAGGCAGTGTCTCCATGGTTACAGGAAGTGTTGGGGCGGTGGGATCTGCAGTGGCAAGTAAAGTCACACCAAGAAAGAAGGACAAAGCTGACTGATGGACAGTGGCCTCTTGTGTGTGTATGTGTGTGTGTATATATGTGTATGTGTGTGTAATGCAAACAAGAGCAAAATACCTCGAAAGCTTAGAATGGATTCACAGACCCCCAAAGTAAAGCATGTATTCACTAATGCAGCTACAAAGATACAAAAGCAGCTAAATGTCAGCGTCATCTGGAAATCTGTTACACAAGGCGGCACCCCCATCAGAGGTGCAAAGAAATACTAACAAGCCAATGTTGTTGTTTTTTTCTCCCATACACGAGGGGGTTCAGGCAGACCTTTCTCCAGCATCAGCTCAGCACTAAAAGGTCTAGGTCTAGCTATGCAAGACTAGACTGCCACAGAAAATGAATATGTCACTGAAAACAACTGTCAAATTATAGAATGAGCGAGAGGCCGGAGACAGCCCATCGCTTTGTATCTGCATGTCTGAACACACAGTTACTTGTTCCCTCAACAGCATCTAACTGCTTGAAAAGAAAACGTTTTTGTTGAGAATAAAATAGAATTTCATTCCAACATTTCAAGAAATTGTCCGTAAAAGGACTGGTTAGGTAAGAGTACAAATAGATCCAATGGAAATCAAGAATGAGTGATATAGCTCTACATGCATGGTAATGTGGCGTCTGAGTACTGCTCAGTTTGTATCATCCACTTATTAAAGACGGACGTCGCTTCTCCACTTCCTCCCACTGTAAAAAGATAAGGCCAAAATATAGAAAGACAGACAGAAACCATCTTTGGGGAAAACATTTGGCTTTGATTTTTTTGTTTGTCCCATCTGCTAACATGTAGGCAGCAGGCTTTATGACCTATACTGCAGTCAGCCACCAGAGGGCGATCAAGATGTTTTATCTTCGCATTACGACTAGCTGTCATGTCCTCCATCTTTAATATATGTTTTGTATAGGTTTGTTTTTTCTTTCTGTCACGTAGTCAGTTTCCTGACACTGTAAGTTGAGAACACTATGCCAACTTGAATTTAAATTCTTTTCCATGACATTTTAGATATTGTTTTATTTTGTCTGAACCAATATCAGTATTTAGGTTTCTGTTGAATCTCGAGTCCTATCTTACTCCCCCCCCCATAAAATCAGGGTGTGATAAGGACTCATGCTTTGCTTTACATAATTTCAGCCACTTTGGTGTAGAGTTGCGCTAAGGCTTCTTTAGCTACCATACAGCTAGCATAAGTTGAGACGTTTTACAGATAACAACAGTTGATATAGAACACACATGATTGAATGAAGACAATTTGATGGGGAAATACTGTGAGCAATAACGTAAGGTTCTCTGATATAAAATAAAATATTGACATGTACATTTTAAATCTGAGGTTTACATACAATACAATACAATTTGAAACAAAAATTAAAAGAGAATTCACATTATACAAATTCTGTTTAGGGGGTTAAACAACCAAATGCACGTTGCATAAAGCAACCATTTTTTGCAGATTCAAGTTCCTTGTGTATTTGTATGTACATGTGAGCCAGTGCACACACACAAAAGTGTATAGCAGTCATCCAATAAATAATGTCCCTGCTAAAGTTAAAACCAAATCTATACTGTTTCGTTAAAGGACAGTGAACCCTACTACTTAGCGTCACTCAAACCACTGGGGAGCACTACATGCAGCAGTTAACTAATTAATAAGGTCTAATGCAGACAGAAGACCCTTTCTAAGTCCCACTCCTTCACGCTGTGTGCTCCAATATAGGCTGAGCAAGCCTCGGGCAGAACCTCTGTCAACTTTCTCCTTTTCTGTACACAAGCGTGAACCTATTCTGACGTCACCCATTGGTTTTTGCGAATACCATTCTGAATCCTTAAGTTTGTCATTGTGGCATTGACCATGTCAGGTTTTTTTGGCTGTACTTAGTTTCAACCCATCCATAGCAGGAAGGGTGGCTCGCCTGGTCACACACAATCTCGTATTACAATTAGCAGTACAACAAAATATGTTTGTGTCAACGCAGTAACAGAATCTGGATTCATATCTGATCAGCACTGCCCAGTTTGACAGTTTGATCTGAGTTTGGTGCGTTAAGCGGACTCAATGAGAATAACTTGACAATCACAAGGTAGCCACACCCTAAAGCATACCCTACTTTATGGTCTATTTTACTGTAAATGGGACCATCATTTACTCAATGAACATCATGCTGTATGGAAGAAGACTGAAACTAGAGACCATAAACTCATTAGGAAACTGTTTACTGAGCTCATAAATCATATCAGAAGTCGGCTCATTTCTCCATAAGACTCATTACTGTCACACTTCTTTTTTGCAACCCATGGAGCTGCCATCTGCTGGTCATTAGAAAGAATTGCAGGTTTAAGACGATTTCATGTTGGTTCACTTCACAGACCCAGAAGCTCTGTCCACTAATTATCCTGCCAGTGGCTATGTCATGTGTTAGGCTGTCTGTGTTGAAAAGACAACCAAATTTTGAACATTAGCTTTCCAATGTAACTAGCTTGCTAAGGATTGACGTAGAATAGTTAGATTTTAGCTAGCATTTTTGCTAACATTAGTTAGAGCAAAAAGGGGTGGGACTTAAGAAGGGTACATTTTCAGCAACCACTGCTGATAATAATTTTCTTATATACACGTTCATGAAGTATGTAAGTATGTACCTTTACTTGGTATTATTTCCTCTGACATATGTCTACAATTAGCAGTGCATGTCTTTACATTGTCTTAACCTCCAACCTATAGGTTACCTGGAGCCCACAACATTTATGTGTTTCTGTTTCTGTTCAATTTTGGTAGAATGCCATTTCACAAATGGTACAATCACACTTGTAAACAATGCATTGTTTATTTATTTGTGAAATTTTCAGCTTGCATGCCACAAATGAAATGAAATTGGTTCAATCTAGCAAAGGCAGAGTAAGCTATATGATATCGTGTATTGGAACCGAAGAGGGTGACTTACTGGGAATATGTTTGGTTTCTTTGTGTTCATTTACAGGTTAATAACTGTTACAACTGTGAAACTGCTATTGATGGCAATGAGATGGGTTCTCCAAATAACCGTTTGTGTAATCTCACCCAGGATAAATTTAGTCATACTATTGAGATTAGTGATTTTTGTCCCTGTGATGCTTAAAACTGCAGTAGGTAAATTTTATGAAAATAGTTTTTTGTCATATTTTGCTAAAACTTTCACTATATCCTGACAGTAGTACACGAAACAGATAATCTGTGTATAAATCAGGTTCCTCTGGCTCCTCCTAGTGCTCCTAATGGTATTTGCAATAATCCACAGGGAAACGAAAACAACCAATCAGAGCCGAGAAAGATTGGTTGTTGAGTCTCATTCCCAGGTTGTCAAATACCAATAATTTGGATAAAAAATTAACACTAACATATTTCAGTCAGCCAACTCACGTTTGAAATGTGTATTATAGCAGTATAGCGTATTTCGATTTTGGCATCTAGGCTCCGACCTCATCACTCCCCACAAATATGTTTCCATAGAGATATTGGGGAGTGATGAGCAAATACCTTAACCCCCTAGCTGGAGCCTACAGGTGGAGGCTGGGGTGGTGGTGGGGCTTACAGAGCAGCAGGCAGCAATACAGATGCATGGCAACAGTGGCATTGACAGAGCAGAGGGAGAGCTGGGAAATTGTGCAGCTTGAATAGACCGCCAGATTGGAAGGGTGAGCTTGGTTCGTGATTATGGAGTAAGGCAAGTCGTGTGTATATCAGCGCAGCTCGAGTTGACTGCCTGAACTAGCTCGCAGGCTCCGCTCCATATTCTCATGCACTACTGTCATCATATAGTGACAGTTACAGCATATATATAGACTTGTTTTTTTTAGTTACTTACTGCAGCTACCTTCAGCTTACTTTGGATATACACAAGTTGAGCACTGCCGTCATAGGAATTACTTTTTAGTTATCACATTCAGGAAATAGTTGGCTATATTATTTTTTATTTTGTTTTTCTTTCTTTCTTTCTTTCTTTAAATAAATCTGTGAAATTATAATAGCTAAATAGGATTTTTATTGTTTATATTGTTTATTATTTAATTATTACTTTGGCCAGAGGCATAGAGTTTTTTAGGGGGAGCCCTTCTACTCAGTATTTAGAATAGAGCCTGACCGATTTTAGAGGGGAAAAACGATTGGTTGTTTTTGTTCAGGCCCGGTGGATTCTTGCAAGTGACCTACTGCAGCTTTAAACAGAGGGTTTATGAAGAAATAAATAAAACAGCTGAAAAATGATCCGCGACAGGAGGACTTACTTTTATAATAGCATACAGGTTATTGTAGGTGAATAACCTGTCCCTTACAATGTGATAGTACAAAGACCAAACTCTGTTTGCAATTGTGTGAATTTTGTAATTGTACTGTTGAACCTACATTTTTATAAGAAAATAAAATCATTCTACATTTGCTGCATGCCTCAGAATGATGTTTGTCTCACACAAATGGTTTTCTTCTCTCACTCCTATGGAAGCCCATTTCTGCCATTGTGACGGGGAACAAATTATTCTGTAAGTCATTATAATGGGAAACTCCCTCAAAATATTGACTTTATGATACTTAGTCATTATTTTGAGATATGTCAAAACATTGGGAAAGTTTCTCATTGTTATATTAATATAAGTCAATATTTTGTGGAATTTTTTCATTGTGACTTACAGAAACTTTTTTTTTTATGTTCCATTGGTGGAAATAGGATTCCATACTCTCCTGTCGTGCAACGTTTGTCTGAGTTTCTTCTATTTCTCCCCTCACTCCCTCTTCTCTCTGGCTCTTTCTGTTAAACCTGAGGACTTTATGAGAGACTAAACAATTTTGTGTATTATAGAAATAGTTTTGCAAACAGGATGAGGCTGTATTGTACATTAAGAACAGTTGTTTTCTGTCAAGTCAGCTGTATTCATGCAGCCCAATATCACAAGTAATAATAAATAATAATTTGCCTCAAGGGGCTTTACAATATTATTATTACTGCCTTTATTTAAACTTTAAAAATCATTGAGGGCTTGCTCTCATTTATAGTGATGTCGAGCAACAGTTTGATTGATAAATCGTAAAAGATACGAGCTAATAAAAAATTATTATAACAAGCTACTGGATACAAGATACTAAAGCAATTTAAGTAAAACAAACTGAATTGTTTTTGATCATGGATTCAAATTCACCACGGAATACAAGTGTATTGATTCTTGTTCTGCTTTGTAAAGAGTTCCAGTTAGTCAAAGCACAGAAACTGAAAGCAGATCTTCCCAGCTCAATATAATCTCGAGAGACTTGCAGAGGAAGGCAATCACTGGACAGTGCCAGATATGGTTAAGAGGACTAAACTAGCAAAGATGAGATATAAGATGGCAACTTCCCAATGAGATCCCTGTAAATAAACAAATGCACATGCTTATCACGTCTCTCTCACTGACCACCCAACTTTTTATTACAGGATGCAATGATGAGTACTATAAACATCCCCAGTAATAAACCTAAGAGCAGAATGATAAACAGCATCTAGGGCAGAAGCATGCCAATAAATCACAGCTCCATAAGTCATAATGGAAAGGGAAACAGCTTTAATAATCCTTTTACAACAAAACAGTTAATTTAGTTCTATATCTATATAAAACAAAGTTTTTTGTTGTTGTGTAATTAGATGAGAAGAATTTCTCCTTTTTTTTCTGTTCAAGGTATTTATATTCTGTAACTCTCTCAATGTTGCAGTGTTTCTCAAATGGGGGTACATGTACCCCCATTTGTGAGAACAACATAAACTTAGTTTTATGTGCATTCAGTACAAATTTAGTAAGCAAACCCCAAAACCAACCTCTGTATATGGATATTCAGTAGTGTTGTTGATCGATTCATGTCTAAATCTTGACATTTTAATGCAAAGTATTTGAATTCTACATATTGTGCTATAAATATGCATGGCAACTGCCCTCTACTGGTTGAAACCCGGCTACTGCAGATGAATTTTGCTATCTGGAGGCAGATGACGAATGTGATGGCAGCATTCGTTACCAACTAACGAAATTAAATTGCACTATAAGATATTGTGTTGTATAAATATTAGTATTTGTCAAATATTATTGTGTTTGCATTATATCGCTAGTTCTGACTAGCTCTCATAAACAAAAGCTACATCACAACTGACTTAGCTTGTCACTTCATCAATGCTGACTGAGAGATATAGTCCTGCGTACAAACCCTCTCTCCTTACGTGAATGTCACACAACAGTCTCCTTCAGTAGGTAATCGTGACACTATCAGTCCACTTTTACAAGTTGGATTAACAAGAGCTTAATGACAAATAATTACATTTTTATTGCTTTTGCTATGTACCAAATTATTAAATTTTTACATTAAACTTCTCAACTTAAAGGGCCAGTGTGTATCACGCGGCATCTAGTGGTGAAGTTGCAAATTGTAAACTACAGCGGCGACAAAACTTACGAAAGAGGTGAAGGGTCCAATCTACAGCCAGTATGTGTTTGTCCGTTACATGCTACTGTAGAAAAATTCAACATGGCAGACTCCGTCAAAGAGGACCAACTCACTTTGTAGATAAAAACAGCTAATTTTAAGACAACAAATGATTCTTATTTTCAGAACTTATTATACATGAATTATTATCATTAATTATTATTATTAAAATTATTACATTTTTGCCAAGATCCTCCTTAATGTTACACACTGAACCTTTAAAATAGAATATCATTTTATCTTCTTTTGTCACAAAACTTACTTGTTATTACACAAAGTGAACATCTTTTTAAACCAAGAAACATTTGTAATACATTTTTAAGTCGGTTTACATGGTTTTATTTGATAAAGATTTCCTGCTTTGGATGAGAAAAGGCGGAGGTATCAATCAAAGTCTTAATTTAAAGGCAATGTAAGAATGTGAATAAAGACATGAAATATGTTGACACTAGGTACAAAATGAAAACAACTTTTTAGAGCCGAGGACGTTGGTTGTTGAATCTCATCTCCAGTTCGTCAAATACTGACTCTTTGGTTACTAAAGCACCAATATATGACAACTTGGGAAGGAGACTCGACAATCAACTAGCTCTAGTTTGAATTAAACTGTCAAATAAGCTAGCAAGTATTTAAATCTCTCAGCAGCAGAATATCAGAGCAACGTAAATTACAATTACACATAACTAGATAATGCAGGCTAATTTGACCATTTCCTGATTGTCATTACCCAGCACCTAGGCCATGACAAATATGGAGAAGGACACAATAGATGGCGAGAAAGTAGTGAATTTATTATAGTGACCTAAACAACTGAGGTAATAAGTACAAATGTGGGTGTGTCAGTCAGTAACATCAGTAATGTAAATGTGGAGGTGTGAGCAATATGAGATGTAAATGTTGTCAAGTGAAAACAAAGAAATCAAACAAAAGCTGAGAAGGTGAGCAAGATTAGAATGAGAGAGAGCCAGAGCAAAACTGAGACTGGGCTTTAATCCTGTAGGAGCGCCTGACCCAGGTCCAAATCTGGTTTGCTGCTGATGGTACCTTCAGGGACACACAGGAGAAACAATAACTTGTTCACCACATCAGCATTTTGGGCAGGGATTGCTCAACTGTTATTGGACACAGAGCAAATTGTTAAATTTAATTGACAGTTTGTAAAATCGTGTCAATTATATTTTGTACCCTATGTGCACACACATGCGCCCATGGCAACCCTGAAACCACGGAGCCCCACCCAATATAACAGATCCTAATTTAACCTGTGTTTAGCTGCACAACAAACCATAACATCTGAAGTTGAAATTATAGCATAATAATTCGTCCTGTTGTAATAGCAAGAAAAATATGTAATTATTACTTGAAAATACCTTGTTATAACATGAAAACTATTATACATGTTGTCAAAAAGTCCACATGATGAAACATGGTGCTATAAAACTAGAATGTAAATCTACACAAAGTAGTTTAAAAATGCTTGAGTTTGATTTAAACATAGTGACCCCTTAAAGGACCAATTTGAGGAATTTAGTGGCATCTAGCGGTGTAGTTGCCAATTGCAATACTTTTGCCTCACCCTCCCATTCCAAGTGTACAGGAGAAACTACAGTGGCCATGGAACTCGTAAAAATTAAAACATGAAATGCCATATCTAGAGACCTGTTTGTCCTGGACTACTGTAGAAACATTAAGGTTCAACATGGCGGACTCTGTATAAGAGGACCCGCTCCCTCTACACACACTAATGAGCTTTAAATTATGAAGTTGTACTGCATTTGTAATCACAATGTGGGTTAAATATGTCACATGTTACTTCAGGGGCAGAAGGACCAGAACTGAGGTAGTTGAGATAGATAGATAGATAGATAGATAGATAGATAGATAGATAGATAGATAGATAGATAGATAGATAGATAGATAGATAGATAGATCTGGTAACAGGTGGAGATGACTGAGATGAGTTTTAAACAGATGGATGGACAGTTTTTTCCACCACAGACGCAACGACGATATCTGGATCAGTCGTTCAAACACTTCTAACTATATAACCGCTACTCCACAAACTACATTACTGTCTTGTGTTGCTGGTTTCTTAAACCCACATTGGATGTATGAATGTCAGCAGTTGTTTAAAAAAATGGGTGGAACGTTCTGTCCTCCACCAGAGAGTGCGAGAGGTTTCTCAGTTCTCTAGGGTGGAAGACTGTCTTGTATCCGAGGAGCTTGAAAAGCGGTTGGCAAACAGTCTGAGTGTGAACCACCATGTCGAAGGACAGCTTCACCCTCCAGTTCTCCGCATTAGCAGCAGAGTCCCGAACTGTGGTGAACTTCTGCCGGGATGACAGATCACTGCTGCCCCGGGTGTTGTTGATGATCCAATCCTCCACACTGCGGTGCAGAACCAGGCCGAGGAAGCTGTAGAGCTCCCTGGTCTTCTGGAGAGGAAACCTGGCCAAGTCCTCATACCTAACCAAGGAAAGGGAAGTAAAAAATAAGCCATTTGTTAGTACCTATGACTCAGGAATTATACCACGGCCAACGGCCAGTGCTACGGATGCCCCTTCTGAAATTAACTATGCACATGGACAGTTTGGTATTGCCCTGTTTGGAACTGGATGTTGTGCCCTTAAAATTGTTGGGTCTCTGTAAATAATACGGTTGATGTTGTGTAGCGTTAACAGAGAGCTAGTTTGGTTCCTTCAGTCAGCCATACAGTGTGTAGATGAGCTCAGGTTGCAGTAGAATAGTAACTGTGTGTGTGTGTGTTTGCTGCCAAAGAAAAGAAATAAAGTCGCTGTTTATGTAATTTTACTTCAGCGTCTTCTTGGACTCTACACATTAGAGTGAAAAGCTAACGCTAACTAGTGTTAGTTAGATCCATGAGTCACCCAAATACGTTTTGGAGCTGAAAGCCATGGGTCAAACACATTCAATCTGTGTTGGAGCCATTTTTTATGTTTAATATTGGGTGGCGCTGTGAGTAGCCATCTATTTTAGGTTTAGACTAATTGGTTCAGGTGTAGCGCACAGTGAGGCATATGGTTCTTAACCGTGTGTAGGTTGAGATTTCTTTTGTTATTTTTTTGTCCTCCTGCTGACTGACAGACACAACTGGCTTACAAAGTGAACTCCAATATTATCCTTTTGTCCTTCTCACCTAAGCAGAATGTAGCGCCCTCTGAGCCAGGCAGGTCTGGCCAGGCCCGTGGACACAGACCTGAGGAAGTCCTCACACACTGTGTTAATCTGTCCCAGGTCCAGGTTGTGGGGTCGCCGACCAGTCGCCCTCCACAGACGCCACAGCCGGTAAGTGTCTCGAAATGTCTCAATACGAGATGCCAGGATGCCGCGGGGATCTCGAACAAGCTGGACCACCTGGTGATGATGAACATCAGGAATACACTGTGGTCAGCAACAGTACAGATGATCCCCAGCTCCTCCCGCCACATGTCAAAGTATCCTTGAGCAAGATACTGAACCTCGAATTGCTTCCAATGCTGTAAATTGGTGTGTGCCACTGCAGTTAGTCTGCGGATCGGGCGGGCTGAGTTATCAAAATGAAGACTCCTGATAATGTGTGTTCCCCCTAAACCCAAAGCGGATTTTTGCCATGGTGCGTGTGTACTTAATTTGGCTTACTATGGCGGTCGGAGCCCCAAATAAACAGATTTTGCTATGATTTAATTGCAGTAAACAGATCTAACTATGGCTATAGAATTTGTCAGGTCTGTCCGCAAGACTACGAGCAAACATGGCTATGCTAACTTATAACGTATTTGCAGCTCTTACCAGGTAGTCCAACTTCCTCTCTGACACAGAGCAATCTCCTTTTTGTGTCTTTGCGTTGACTTTGTATGAAATCTACTCATGCAAATAATTGCATTTGGTGGGAACACACCATAAATCCATCAGAGCTGTCTAAAAAAATATTTCAGAAGAGGTGTGAAAAGGGCACAAAAGGCAGTGCCCTAAATCCAATAAAACAATGGGATTCATGATTTCCCCTAACCGACCCCATTAGCTTGGGGCTAGAAAAGATTTTTATCACTATTCTACTAGGAATTTAAGTATTACATTTTTGCCATTGCCAGCTACACAGATCCAGTCCAGCATTAGGAGCACTACGAGGAGCCAGAGGAACCTGCTTTTTTCACAGATTATCTTTCTTATGTACTACTGTCAGGATATAGTGAAAGTCTAGCAAAAAATATTTTCATAGCAGTTACCTGCTAGTAAGTTAACTGCAGCTTTAATGTTAAATTTAAATATTCAAATTTTATTCAAACTTGAGGATTTCTAGAGTAGCTGAGCTGTTGGGTGGAGAGTGTCTGTTTTTCTGATTCAGTGTGTGTTGGAGTAACAACACTGCCAGTGTATAAAGCCGTTGATGCCTGTAGTCTCATCTAGGGTAACACTCACTCACTGCCACTGCTTCATTGTCCTTGAAATATCTAGATAAATCTAGGACACTCTAAGTTGCCTGTTGGTGCACTACTGCTCATGTCCCACTTCTGATAAGGTATGTGGGTTTTATTGCATGTTTGTTCTTGATTTAGCTTAAACGCATATGAATCACAGCATTTAATAATGCCTTCCTGCCAGTACCCAGTTGGATTTGTTTGCCATTCTTTATCTAAATTAGCTGATTCATGTAACAGATGTTAAATATAGTATAGCTGTGTGTCCTTTTAATTTGAAATGTTTTTGTTCAGGGTTCAGCATTCATGTTAGTTTTCTGAAATGTACTTGCCCAAAGTCAATTCTTACCTGCCCCCATACCCCGTTTTATCCACCTTGCTCTCAGACTTGATGTTTCGCCTACATCCTCTAATGCTACCCAATTCAATTCTGTGGTTTGGGCTCAGTTCAGGCTTGCACAGAATTTGGCTCAGGTTGGGCCCCATTTTTTGTGCACCATTAAAGCTCTAATGAGAAGGAAGTGAGATGGCTCACTCCTTAGCTACTTCCATCATCAGCTCTGAAAAAACAATGTGTTTTCTTTTTTTTTCACGGCAAGTGAATGGCTAGATTTACTAGACCGACATTGGCATTTTACTTGACCCAGGCAAATAAAATGTACTTGCACTTTACATACAGCACTTGTACAAGATGCTTAGCTGACCAGGTCAATGCAGTCACACTCATTACATCAGAGTGACTTTAGCAAAGGCTACTGGCACAGCACTGCCACTGTATATTATGTTTCCACGTGTCTGCACGCGTGTTTAGAGGGACTGTGGTCGTTGTCGCCACATATTTAATCAATACCAATTTAGAACTGCATTGATTGGTCATCTAACCTTCCATCATCCAGCACTCAGCTTGTGAATAGCTGTAAAATCCAGGCTCTGTGGTGCCACACTGACCAGTCAATACAGACCAAACACAAATAATCAGCTGTTCACTACATCTAGGTATAGCTATTGAAGGTTGTTGTGCTGCCCCAACCACTAAACTAGTGTGTAATTACTGGTGGAAGTCTAGCTGTGGTGAGCTTTGGATCAAGATGCAGAATAGGCTAAAAAGTCAGATATCAATATTCCAACATTCTTTTTTCATATAGCTGAAAAGCAGTCCTTAATACGTCTCAATGACAAACAATTTAAGTTTCAATATATTTGGGCCCTTTCTGAAGGATATTGAAGAAGACGGGACCACCTTGAGATACCTCTCCATGTAGGTTGTAGTGTTTAATATACCATTATCCCTTCATGCCTGATTACCCTTATTATATCCAATTGTATAAACCTTCTTGATCTGAATGGACAAAGACTGTAATACTGAAATTAATTTTATATTAAATAAAATAATAATAATAATAATAATAATAATAATAATAATAGTTGTAACTATTTCTCTACCTTGAGGTTGAGTCTTGGGTCCTCAATCAGCGCTCTGAGGTCACTGATTTGGGGAATCCGGACCGTCTTGATGGCTGCGTGGCGCATTGCTCTACAGGCATCAGCAGCCAGTGACACATTGAGCGGCCCACACCTCCTCGCACACTCCCCCTCATCAGCCAGCACCAGGCTCTGCACCTCTCGACCCAGAGGAGCCTCACATACAGGGGGGGAGCACAGAGACCGGCCTAAAGACAGGACAAGAAACTGTAACACAGCAACAATGCATTGCCAAACCAGCGACATACATATAACAGGACTGTATCCATTTGCATTACGTAAAAGAAAGCAGGACAAAGTGCTAAGTCATGTCCCTTACTAGCTCCTCGTCTGAACAGCTTGTCTGTGGAGTGGTTGGCAGGACGGGGCCGTATGTAACTTTCCAGACTGTTGAGGTGACAGTGGTACAGGGACCTCAACAGGTCTCTGGCCGCTCCCAGCATCACCCTCCTCTCAGCCAGGTTCCGACTCTGTGCCAGCCGAGGAAGCACAGCTAACTGGACATGGTACAGAGGCTCAAACAGGTAGAAGACCTTGGATATGAAAAATTATCAAAGACAATATATGAGAGTTATTAAACTTCCACACATATAAACCTAGAATTTTTAGGTGCAGTCAATGAAGGTTTTGTGCCTCTTTGGACAAAATAACCAATATCATATTGTCACATTTTACAGATCAAGTGCCTCACTGGTTGCTGCGCTGTCTAAACAGGCACTGTCACCCCAGCTCTGTGCAAGGGATGCTCAAACCCCCAAAGCCTCTGAAATACTGGCCGTGCACTCTGCAATTCAGATTCTTTTTTTGCAACCTTGCTTCGCTGCAGCTAATGATCAATTGAAACGTCTGTCTGTATTATATCAGTTCTAGTTGCAGTAGGTAACTTTTATAAAAATAACTTTTTGTCATATTTGCTGAAACTTTCACTTCATCCTGACAGCAGTATATGAGACAGATAATCTGTGAAGAAATCAGGTTCTGCTTTGGGTTGGAGGCTTGAAGATAGCTGATCGTCACATTCCCAGAGTCCCAAAGTGTTTTTATTTGACGACTGTATTTGGGAATAAGACTCAACAATCAACTGTCTTCCTTGGCTCTGATTGGTTGTTATCATTCAGGGCCAGTGTAATCTTGCAAATACCATTAGGAGCACTCGGAGGAACCATAGGAACCCCGATTTCTTCACAAATGATATGTCTGTTTTTAAAAAAATAGAAATGACCAACTTTATTGCATGCTTTAACTGTTTAACCGTGCAGTCATTAGCAAGTAACAGAAAAAAGTATATTCAAGTTCAGCGTTTTTGAAATGTCAAAAAGTATTCCTGATGTTTTTAGATGATAATTTGATACAGGTCACATGTATTACATTCTAACCTCTGGATGTTGGTTAAACAGCTGACCCACGAAGGAGGATCCGCTCCGTGTGGTGGCCAGAATGAGAATGTGGGTTCTCTTGTTTGCACTGTCGGAGGGGAGGGAGACAGAGGGGGAGGAGGAAGAGGTGTGGGAGAGGATCTCATCACAGCCTTGGTCCGAACCCTCGAGTGTCTCCTGGCCCAGTCGTGTCAGATCTTTGAGGCTGCAGTTGACGGCGTGGCCCGTGAGTGCCAGGCCCAAAGATTTGGTGGAAAAGGTGCGGATGGCTGTGTACTGGATGGCTATGGAGGCTAATGCTAGCAGCACCATGGACTTCCAACAACACTGCATGGTGGCTGGGCAGATGCATCAGGAAGCCACAGCACTGTCTGTCAGACAAGGGGTCAAAGACAGAAAGACATAAGGACAGGAGACAAAGAGATATTAAGACTGACGTCTTGTTTTCATTGGTTCACTCTTACTGCTCTCATCAGCCTTGTTAAACCCTGATAAACCCAATGAACAGTCCCTGCCCAGCACCAACAGAAGACAAAGTTAGAGACTAGCTGGTGAACATCGGTGGAATTTAGAGATTTTTCGCAGGGTTTGGTGACGATCAAAAGAGAGCTAAATGTTGAGTGAATATTAGACTGTTATTTGAATGTTGCTCTGTGGCTGCTGGATGTCTAAATGGCTGTTAAAGTTTCTAAATGATTTGTGTACTTCCGGGGTAGCTTTAGCACGTCTCCAGTGGCTCCTTATGCTTTGGCAAAAATGATATGGAAATGGATAATGTTAACATTTTCATTGATCACTGTTGTAGGCCTAAGGTGATTGTTTCATGCTCCAGTTGTGTAGCCTTTAGACACGTGTGTGGACAGAGGGGACAACAAGTTTTTGGCTGTGTCTTAAATGACTTGCATGGATGATCCATTTGGTCCAATAACTACGGAAGCCCTAAAGAGCCATGTATTCATACATTTTATTTCCTCCGTTTTCCTGTGATAACGAGTTAATTAATTCGAGATCTCCAGATAACGACTGTGATATGATAACTGGGGTCAAATCAGCCGCACTTAAATTTACAGCGTGTTCACTTCCGGTTTTCAAAATAAAGGTATTAAGAACAGTAAGCTATTATTCAAACCTACATTTGAAAATAAAATATGTTACATTCAAGTTTTTCATGCGCCCATGATGAATACAAAACATACTTAATATCAAGCATTTCTACTGCACCAATTTGGAGAAATGCCAAAACAAAAGTTCCATATTTGTATCTCCAAGTGGCATCTTTTATTATATTTGAGGTACTGTAAAAACATATTGCTCAATAATTCCTGGCTATGGATGGTATATTTAACTTCTACACATATAAGAATACAAGTATACTTAATATCAAGCATTTTTACTGCACCAATTTGGAGAAATTCAACAATAAAATTCCACATTTGTACCTGCTTTTCCATTCAAGTTACCGGAGGGCTAAACTGGAAGTTAGCGGCTCGCCAGTGGAAGTGTCTAATGCTCATCCTCTATGGGCCACACCATGCAGAAGCACATGCATAAGATCTGGATAATCTGTTTGCAGCTCTGAGCAGCTTCCACAGGAATGAACGGAGCCTGCCGCCAACTCTGTCCAGTTCCTAATACAGCATTGAGATTAGCTACTTAGTCAGCTAGTCGGCTATTAGCTAACTTAAGATGTGATTACCCTGTATCTTATTTACTTTTGTAAATCTAATTGTATTTCCTTATTTTGTATATATATAATATATTATAATATATATATCTTTCTTATTGTTTGTATTTGTTTTTTGCCTTCTTTCTTAATTTATTTTTTAATATAATCTTTTTTAAATACTATTGTTATACCTGTAAAATCGATTTTGTTGTATTTTCTTTTAATTTTTATCATTGCATTCTATTTTTAAATCTACTTTATTTACTTTTATTCCATCTTATAATTGTCTTGTCAGTCTGTGAAGCACTTCGAACTGCACTAAACAGTAATGTGCTATACAAATGCAGTTTGATTAAGACAATTATTTTTTTATATTCATGAAATGTTATGTTCAAATATGCAAATGAGTCATTATCTATCGCTAACTTTTGTTGAATTTTGGAGAAATCATATGCAAACCGACAAAGTCCAGTAAAATAAACACGGTAATGGGAATTTAGGGCGTTTCTCTCTGAAAGAAGACATGTTATGGAAGTAAAATAGCTCAGAAACTCAAAGTTGACCAGTGTCTGTGTAAATCCATCTATCTAGATTAAATAATCCAGTGACAGCACTAGGCTACATATTAGCACAACATTGCACCAGCTCACCCAGAGATTCCTGCCAGCTGTAACGATGCCTTTCTTCACAATGCCGCTAAATATCAGCAGACCCTTACTGTCGGGGTCCGCAGGCCCTTCATCCCTGCACACAGACACCGATACCGCCCCGGGGCCTGACGGTACCTTTATTTACCTCTCATCGGTGTTTTATCCGTCAGCAGCAGGAGGCGGCGGGCTGATGGAGGCATGATGCTGATGATGCTGATGATGGTGATGATGATGCTGATGCTGTGTGGCTCCTCCAGTCTGCGCCTGTCTGCGATGATCCACACAGGGAGGATAAGGAGGACATGACGCTGCGGACAGGAGACGATCTAAAACCTAAAAAGGAATGATTCATTAAACGCGACGGCCGACAGTCACATCCAAATCAACAGGCTGCTGGACTGCTACATAGGGGAACAGTACAGGTTTCACTGCTACCGCTCTTCATCGTCTCTCTCTTCCTCTTCTACCTTTACCCCCGCCCCCTCACATTCCTGATGTAGGACATTAAAAGATAGCCCTTTAAATGTCATAATCATAAAATAATAATTTAAAAATATACATATATAGCCTAATAATAATAATAATTTGTTTTTTGTTTTTTGTCTGTCTGATTCCCAGCTTCTGAAATATTGATGCTAGGAATGAGACTCATCTATCAACTATCTTCAAGCCTCCAACCCAAAGTTCTCTTCTCGTTCTCGGCTAGAAGTCAGGGGAACCTGATTTTTTTACTGTCAGGATATAGTGAAACTTTCAGCATATATAACAAATTACTATTTTTCACCTACTGCAGCTTTAAAATAATTAGAATTACAACATCTGATCAGATGTTATCATTCTTCTTCTTATTATTATTATTATTATTATTATTATTATTTTGACATTTAAAGAGTTCTCTTTAAATGTCCTGCAGGAATGTGTTTTATAAGTTACCTACTGCAGCTTTAAGGTTCACACAGCTGTATACCACACATACTCATAAAATGCAATAAATATAAGAGAGGGAATGGCTCAAAGGATCAGGAAGCCAGGTAGAGTTAAGGTATAGCTAAGTCAGGGTAGTTAAGTTGGGTGAGGGTTTTCTTTTGTAAATTCTTTACATCTTATGTTTGTCTACTTGTTACTAAGTTAAAACCCATGTCTGCATACTCCGGTAGAGTAGATGGCAGTGTGCACCTTCAAAGTAAATGATTGCAATCTGCTATAAAATAAAAAGAAGGAGAAGAAGAGAGGCAGATGAAGAATAAACCTCTTCCTGATCACACCTAGAAGTGTATATTAGACAGGGTGGCTAAAAGAGCACCAAATATGAACATTGGATTTGGAAAAGGGGAAGGTAAAGCAATAATTAAAAAGAAAATATCTGAACTTTGGCAAAAAAAAAAAAAGGTGGTATGGAGACGGAGAGTATGGGTAGAACATACTATAGAATACAAAAGACCGAGCACAGAGTGTTAAAGGGAGGAGTAAAAGAGTATTTCTATCTAGATTAAGATTTGATCACACTGGTTTAAATAAGACACAGGTATGTGCATGTAATAGGCCCTGTTAAATATAATGAAGAGAGGATAAGTTTACAACAAAGGGCGAGAGTGGTTGGACGAGGATGGGATTAAGAAAGGATATAAGAAACACATTGGGAGGAGGAGTGGAAAGCACAGAGAGCTCATAGATTTCTTAGTTAACGCTGTTTAGTAGAATATTGTTTTTTTTTATTAGACTAGTACAGTAGGTGGTGGTATGCACTTAAAAGCTGCAGTAGGTCACTATTATAAAAAAACTTTTTGTCATATTCACTGAAACTTTCACTATATCCTGACAGTAGTACATTAAACAGATAATGTGTGAAACAATCAGGTTCCTCTGGCTCCTCCTAGTGCTCCTAATGGGATTTATAAGAATCCACCGGGCCTGAAAACCCCCCACAAAAAAGCCACTTAAGGGAATTTGAAGACATCTTCAATGCGTAGTGCAACCAAAAAATGAGGTCTGCCTGAAGAAAAATATTTATAATATAATAATAAATAAATAAGTTATAATAATATCAACTATTTAGAAATAACATAACAACAAATAATATAGAGGATTTCGTTATTTTGCTTCACACTGCTGTCCAGCAGGTGGCGGTAATGCACCTACAAGCTAGTTTACCAACCGCCATTAAAACCAGAAGAAGAAGTACTCTCCAAGCAACCTAGTGGACTACACTTATTCATTTACACCGGAAACATGTATTAATAGACTGCAGCAGAGATATATATATTTATATATATTTATATATATACACAGCTTTTTCTGTGATACGTCACCCGGAAGTCTGCTAAGCTAATGGCGTTACTTTAGCTAACTAGCTAACGTTAACTGGACGCGGGGCTCGGTTTGGCGGTAACGTTAGAAAACGAGGACGTGAGGAGCTGAGTATGGGCTGAAGAGCTCAGAGTCACTGCCAGCATCTGTCAACAATAAGCTGTCGGTGCTTGAAAATGTCTAAAGTCCAAATGCTGAGAGTGCTGATGACTCGGAGACAAAGTGCGGCTGCTGAACAGATCTGTGAGCTGTTGGACAGAGCCGTAGCACAGTGCAGGGACCGCTGTCCGTCAGCAGAGGACAACCGAGGACAACGCACACTGCTGGACCCACAGCTGGACCCACAGCTGGACCCACAGCTGACCATCAGAGCAGGTCTGTACACAGCTGTTAGCACACACAGTGTAAAGTAGAAACACTTTGTAGAAGTCGTCCATGAGGCTTTCACGTTAGAAAGCTGAAGGAGGACATTTTTATAAAAGTCCTATTTGCTGAAAGTGTACAGTAGCGACAATGAAAGATGTCCTCCCACTGCAGAGAGATGGAGCCAGTAGTGATGGCAGTGCCACACTGAAGCTTCGATACGTGCTTCAAACCCTGAACTACAATTCCATAGAACCACTGCTTCAGAGCTTGCTTTGGGGCCAAAAAAAATCACGTGACATATGACGTCCGAAGCAGCAACCGCTTCATTGCCTGAATGAATCAGCTGATTCACTGGCACTGCCTCCTCTGGATTCTAACAGGTGACAGGTTGAGACACTTTTGAATTTGTGCGCTTTTAACACTTTATAACCGCAAATGTGAAGAAACTGTGAGCAAAAATCAACCCCCCCCGCCATAGTTACACAAGCACACCCAACCTATGCCATATTTCCCAGCATTCTCTCCTCAATAACACAATACACACATTCAATCTTTATTTGTAAATAGAACATGATGTAGATAAGAATTTTCAAAGCAAAGATACTTTAAATCCAAGAGTGACCAAAGCAAAGATGCTTCAGAACAAAAGGTGTGTTCTACAAACAGTTTCTCCAGCACTGCTCATTAAGGTGTGTGTGTGTGTGTGTGTGTGTGTGTGTGTGTGTGTGTGTGTGTGTGTGTGTGTGTGTGTGTGTGTATGCGCACATGGTAAATGGTAAATAGACATAATGGCATAAATAGCTGCACCGGGGCCCAGACGCCATCAGGGGCCCATGAAGGAAGAAAAAAAGGAGCCAGCAGCTGTGTTGTTTTTGTGAATGAAATAGGTCGGGGCGGGTCGGTAAGGTAGGCTAACGCTGAGTGGCTGGTGTGGGAGGAGGAAATGATCATTTGTCCAATCACCTTGATAGCTGTCAGTCAGGATGAGTCGCGATGACGTGACGTGGGTTGTTTCTGCTTTCAGCAGGAAAAAAAAACAAGTGGATGAAAGTTGAACCTAGAAAAGATATCATGTTTAGCAAGCCTAAACAAAAGAGTGGCGCGCAAAAGAGGAAGGAAAGAAAGAATCAGGATGAGGGTAAAACTAAAATGGCCAAATTAGATAAGTTTTTTACTCAGACCCAGGCAACCCAGGCAAAAGCTAGCGTCCCGCTGGAGCCTAGCGGTAGCTTGCCAGCTAACTCCATAAATGAAGCGGCATTGACCCCACCGCCGCGTGACAATAGCAGCAGTGGCTGTGCATGTGTGTGTCCAAGCGTGTGTGTGTGCGTGCGCTTGTGTTTAGGGCAGGGGCACAAAAAAAATATTTGCACCGGGGCCTATCACCATGATGTTACACTACTGAATGGACCTGTACTTGTACAGCACCTTTCTAGTCTTCCAACCACTCAAAGAGCTTTTACACTACGTGCCACATTCACCCTTTCACACACATTCACTCAGTGATGACAAAGTCCATCTAACAGAAACTAACATTCATACACACTCACACACCGATGCACGGCATCGGGAGCAGTTCGGGGTATCTTACTCAAGGATACTTCAACATGTGGCACCAGGAGCCGGGGATCAAACCCACAACCTTCCAATAAAGGAACGAACCGCTCTGCCTCTGAGCCACAGCCGCCCGAAATGACTTACACATGAATGCCTGTATGTAATTAAAAGCCTCCTGTCCACCAACCAGCCTGCCTAATTTGACTGCAGCCTTGCACTTTGCCAGGAGAGGTCACTGTAACTGAAGTTTGAGTAATGAACCAATTTTCGAAACAATTGGCTCAAGTGGTTCAGTGCTTCACAAAAGCTTCATTTGCCCATCACTAGTTGGCACTGCTTTATCGAAGTCCTGCTCATACGCCTACCCGACTCAGCTGCGAACAGGGGTCAGCTGTCAATCATCATGTGAAACCAATGACAGTATATATAATGGACAGAGCTCCCGGGTCTGTGAAGTGAAGCCAGCGCAGAAGTGTCTTAGAACTGCATTCTATATAAAGGCCAGCAGGGGGAGCTCCATTGGCTGCAATAAAAACAGATACAATTCACTCTATTGGAGAATGAGCCGACTTCTGACTTTTGTTTGCTTTTTATTGCTTCAAATAACTAATTAAAACCAAAGTTATCAGACTCTGATACTTGAACATACGTCCGTGTGAAAATAACTACCTAAAATGACAGAAACTGTCTTTGGAAAAAATTATTTACCTTTTTTTAATTTTTAGTTTGGCCCATGTCCCATCTGTTTACATGGAGACAGAGGTCCTTATGGCCTATACTGCAGTCAGCCACCAGAGGGGGATCGAGATGTGTTGGCTTCAGTTTGGGGGGAAAGTCATGTTGTCCATCTTTATATATGTCAATGTTTGGGACCCGCAGTTGGGATTTGACGACCTGAGAATGAGACTCAACAATTAGCTATCTTTTTTGGCTTTGATTGGTTGTTTTCATTCAGGCCCGGTGGATTCTTGCAAATGTCATTAGGAGCACTAAGAGGAGCCAGAGGAACCAGATTTTTTCACTCATGTACTACTTTCTTGATATAGTGACAGTTTCAGTGAATATGACTTTTTTTTTTAATAAATGTTACCTACTGCACTTTTAATACACAACAAAAAATGGTACTTAATCATTTAGGGCTGTGTATTGGTCAGAATCTGGCGATACGATACTTAGGAAAAAGGGGTTACAATTCAATATATTGTGATACATTGTGATATATTGGGATCCATTTATTAAATCTAATTTTAGGAGAAGAAGAAGATATATACTTTATGGATCCCCTAGGGGAAATTCTTCTTTTCACTCTTTTTTATTCTTACACACCCCAGCAGTGCACAGGAGGGGAAACTGGCACCTCTCCAGCTACCAGTCCACACTCCATATTGTGGCCTGTGGGACTTGAACCCTCCGGTTCCCAAGCCAGTTCCCTACACACTGATCTACTGCCATCCCAATATATCTTTTTTTATATCTTTTTTTATTTTTTATTTTTTTTAAGAAGATGAAGATGGAAAACTGTTATAATATAAAGAACACACCACCATATGCAGTAAAACTGTCTTTTTTGATGTAACCGGTCTAAAAGTGGGATTTGCATTTGTATTTATCACAGTCCCTGTAACAGCAGGTTTATGTTTACAGCATAGTTTGAGGTTTAAACACAGAGAATCAGTACAATATCACAAAAAGAAATATCGCAATACAATATAGACACACCCCTATGAATCACATACAACATTACCATACAGCAGTGTGGTGCTAACTAGAGCCTGACCAATATGGGAATTTGGAGACCTATTTAGTGTGGTAAAAATCACAGGTTTCCGATATAGAATTAAAATAGATATTTTCTATCTAGATTTTGCAATAGGGCTGGTTACAGAGTGCAGATGCTATTTTCATATTATATTCATATTTATTTTGTAATATGTTTTGCATGCAGCACATTCTTGATTTGTGGTAGTGTGCTGTGGTTCTGGGAATGTTTGATTTTTGAGCTCGACCGTCACTACTGGGATATCATCAGATCACCCAACTCATTACTAGTCATACCGTCATGGCCAGATGTGTTCAGGCTCAGACTCAAACTGTCAATGAAGGAAAACAACTTTAAACATAAACTGCTGCTTAATAACAATCATAACATTTCAGCTGATTTTGTATTATAACTTAAATGTGGTCCTCTTTTTTTCTCCCTTTGCTCTAGAAGTCCAGCAGCAGCAGGATCCAGAGCACCTGCACATTAAAGAGGAACAGGAAGGACTCCGGAGCAGTCAGGAGGGAGAGAAGCTTCATGGGCCTGTCCCAGTTAAGAGTGAAGATGATGAAGAGAAAGCTCCATCCTCTCAGCTTCATCAAAGACAAACTGATAACCAGATGAAAGCAGTGGTCAATGGAGAGGACTGTGAAGGACCAGAACCAGCCAGGAAGCTGAGAGTGTTAGTGAAGCAGCGACTGACTGCGGTAGTTGAAGAGATATTTGGGCTGTTTGAAACAACCTTAGTAGAGTATGAGGAGGAGATTGAAAGTCTACACAAGCTGCTGGAGGAGGCTGTGAAGCTCCAGATGAACACAGCAGCAGGTTTGTCGATGTTCAAAAAGTAATCCGTAAAACGTACAATATGTCATTTCTGCCACTAGGGGGTCTCTCACATCAAATGAATAACCAAAGATGAAGTTTGATGTCGTTGTGAATTGGCGTGGGATCATGGAAGTTGTTGTCTTCACCACCATTGCCGTCATTGCAGTCAGCTTCTCCCGGTTAGGATTCCTTCAGTGTTCATGGTTCAGGAGGTTTCTACAGGGAGCCCAATGATCCACAGAGGTCTCCTCCTCTCCAACACAAACAGACCCGCTGATTAAAACCAACTAAACACACTGAATAAAGAAGTTCCACCTTAAACACACTGAATAAAGCAGTTCCACCTTAACAATCACTGCTTCTCCCACACTGTTGGACAGACAAAGGACGTCCTGGAGGAGCTGCAAGCCGAGCTAATGCTAACATTAGCTCAGCTTGTTTCTCTGATAACTTAAGATCCAGACGTCTGATGACTAAAATCCTTAAAAAGCACCAAGAAACAGTCAATGTATGACAGATAGAGCTAGAGTTTATACACTGTTTAATGATTATAGATTACTGATTGAATCAACTACATATAGAACATAGAGCTAGAGTTTATACACTGTTTAATGATTATAGATTACTGATTGAATCAACTACATATAGAACATAGAGCTAGTCTTTATAGACATTTTAATGCAGAACTGTAGCTTTAAGCTCATTAATGATATGTCACTTCAGGGCTGGGTAGTAATTAGATAATAGCTCAGCAGAAACATAATCTGCAACTACTTTGATAATTGACTAATTGTTGAAGTAAATTTTCATGCAAAAATTGGTGTAAAATCCTGTTTTCAACCTCTCAGATATGGAGATTTCCTGCTTTTTCTCTGTTTTCTATCATATTAAGCTGACTGTCTTTACCTTTAAAGACATCACCTTGAACCTTTAGAAATCTATAAAATAATCATCAGGTCATCGATAATGAAAATAAGTTAGTTAGTTAGTTGCAGCCCTAGTGTAATTATAAATGATTGCCTTGTCTGTGTGTTGTCTACCATGTTGACTAGATGGTGTTGTGCAGTCTTAAATGCTGTTCACAAAGGAGGGAGGTTTATTCCTAATAAGAAGATTATTTATTCTTGACTGATGTTAAATCCTGAAAAGAACCGGTTCAAGAACCAGAGCTAATTTGGTGGAAAAGGGGTCCTCCTGGTTTACTCTTCTCTTTCCAATAGTTCCTGTTTGGAGCCACGGTTGCAGTGTTATTCATTTTACCTCCGCTTACTATCTTGCCATAACAATTTAGCTCCTAACTGATCATGGATTGACTACGTAGAAGGCTGATATTGTGACTAAATATTACAGGAAATGCACAATGTATTTCAAATTCAGCCATCTCATAGTTTAAGTATTTTAATTCAAAATGTTATGTTTTCAAATCAATTTATTTAATTTTTCAAAAATATTTCAGATATTCTTCCACGTACTACTAGGGGCAGCTCATACCATTATTTGAGAACCACTGGTCTAAACAATTGCCTGATTTATTAAATATACAGTATATATTTTGTATGTGGCATAGACATGTATTTCACTGAACAGTAATGTTATATTTTAGAAAAGCTTTAAAATGTCTTAAGACATTAGCAGGGGAGCGTCTCACTTTACTAGTTTGATCACTTTAATATCTTCTGCTGCTGTTGAGTTGAACATGTCTGTTGTTGTCCTATCTGTTAGATGTTCCACAGCTGATGGTCATTAAAGAAGAGGTTCCTTCTGAGCAGCAGGAGAGGAGGACCAATCTGGACCAGGACGACAAAGAAGAGTTCCCACATATCAAAGATGAACAGGAGGTGGTCTGGAGCAGTCAGGAGGGAGAGAATATTCAAGGACTGGAGGAAGATGATTTAACCAAGTTCACGTTCACTGCTGTCTCTGTGAAGAGTGAAGATGATGAAGAGAAAGCTCAGTTCTCACAGCTCCATCAAACACAAACTGATGAGCAGATGAAAGCAGTGTCCGATGGAGAGGACTGTGGAGGATCAGAATCAGCCAGAATCTTGGGTCCAGCTTGTGATTCACAGCAAGAGATGAGTCTACTTCAGTCAGGTTTAGTAACTCTAAACTACAATGAGGACTCTGTAAGTCATAAAGATTCTAATCCAGTGGAAAAACTCTGTGTCGGCCAAACATTTAGCATACCAAACATAAGAGTTGACACAGGAGGGAAACCATTTAGTTGCACCATTTGTGGGAAAGGCTTTCGTGAAAAATCCGATTTGAAGAGACACATACGATTTCACACAGGGGAGAAACCATTCAGTTGCGTCTTCTGTGTTAAAAATTTTACTGAAAAGGCAGATTTGAAGAGACACATGAGAGTTCACACGGGGGAGAAACCGTTCAGTTGTCCCATCTGTGGAAAAAGTTTTGGTGAAAAAAACGATCTGACAAGGCACATCAGAGTCCACACTGGTGAGAAACCATTTAGTTGCTCAATTTGTGGCAAGATATTCAGCCAGAATGAAAATCTGCGCAGACATGAAAGGATTCATACTGGGGAAAAACCTTTCACCTGTCCAGTTTGCACAAAGCCGTTTACCCACAGAGGAGCGCTTGTTGTACACATGAGAATTCATACAGGAGAGAAACCGTTTGGCTGCTCAGTGTGTGGGAAAAGGTACATAGAGACTGGAAATCTGAAGAAGCACATGAGAGTCCACACAGGAGAGAAACCTTTCAGTTGCAGTGTTTGTGGAAGAAGATTCAATTATCAGTCTCAGGTCAAAAACCATAAGTGCTCTGGTGAGAGCAGCGTAACCATAGCCCATAATGCATGAGGATATCCAATCCCTTTCAGTTAGGACTGTGGTTAGGCATGGAGCCACATCTTAATACTGCTCTCACACAGTCTATGTTAATGTGGATTTTGGTAAATTCTAAAATAGTGGTCTTTATTAGCTCAGCTGCAGAGAGAACCAGGTTTTGGTTTGGTGGGCGTATATTAGAGATAGACCTTTATAACTAAACTATATGATATTTCTTCTTAAGTACTTAAACCCTTTAAGATTACACTCCTAGTCATATTGTACCACTATTTATCGATGTATGCCAAAAAATAAATGTCTTTGTATTTAAACATCGAATAAATGTTTCTTTTGGTAAAAAAAAAAGTACACATGCTTATGTAAGCATGAAACAACCAATTTCAACCAATAATACACAGAGCTAAGAATATTAGCTAGCTAGCAACTGCATGGGTTTCTGCGTGAGTGGAGTGTGTCTGGGGGCGTCACTGATTAATGTACAAAAGCACAACTTTATGAGTGATTTGGGTGAAACTGGATCATATTTTCTGGTTTCTATATGCTCTGCCTCAACTCAGCTAACTGCTGCTGTAGCTGCCGTTAGTGTGCAACAGAACCCACCGAGGTGGAGTTTCCTGATGTACTTGTTGCTAAAAGTAGCTAACTACTGCTGAGGGTAATGTTAGCTGCATTTAGTTAGTTAACTCATGCAGCTAAAGTTAGCTCCCTGTCGTAAAACTGGCCTTTGTCGGCATCAGATAAAAATGGCTTATTATAAGGTAACAAAAACAAAATGATTCTTATTTTCAGGTGATTATACACTAATAAAAATATGCCTATGAATATTATATTCCATTTCTTAAAGATCCTCCTAAATGTTACACACTGGACCTTTTAAGGATTATAATATTAAAAAACGTTTTAACCCAGCTGACTGTGATGGAAATATCAGTTAGATAGATATTACTGCTGCAGCTGTTTTTTCAATCACATTGAATTGTTAGCACAGGCTCCAAAGACTGGACCGATAAACAAGAGAACTGGATTGGGGAAATGGATACATTTTATAATTATTACATTTTCTTTTATTTATTTGGTAATACTGGAAACTTTAACAATTAATCATCTTTAATAAGTAATCTGTTCAGCATATGACACCCTCTGTCCTTAGACCCCTGATTCAGATAAGGAAAAACTCCCCCAAAAATATTTTTTAAAATGAAAGAAATCTCAGGAAGAGCAACAGAGGAGGGATCCCTCTCCCACATATGCAATCCTGCACAGCAAAGACCAAAACAAGAAAAACGAAACATCTCACTGAGAAACATCTCAGTATATACCATTTTTGATGAGAGGAACACAGTATGAATCCAGGAGGATATCGAACAATTTACTCACTTTTTAAAGTTGCATGTAAATTTTATTTAGCCCAGTTGTTTGCTTTTTAAAGCTGCAGTAGGTTATTTTTATAAAAATGTATATTTGGTCATATTTGCTGAACTGTCAGGACACAGTGAATTTGAGCAATAATGGAAAAAAGTTATATTTCTAAGTTACCTACTGTAATTGCAGTATTATGTATGTTTTACATTGTACAATTATATTTCTTTTTTATAGTATTGTATTTTTTTTCCCCCAATACTCAGTACTGTTATTTGTATTGTTATATTACTATGTTGTTAATAAAGTTTTAAAGAAAAAGATATTTTATTGTAAGGATGACAAAGGCAAGACCCGCCCTGCTCTGCTGCTGATTGGCTTACCCTGATATTCTCGCCCTAACCCTAACCAATCATCACGCGTCATGCCTAAACCCGACAAACCCAACCAGCGAAGGCAACGACTCCAACGAGGCCAATCAGAGGCAGAGTGGGGCGGGACCAAAGGCTGGAGGTGAGTTTCCTTGACGTGACAAAGTTGACGCAAATTCCGTCTCGCTAAAGAAGCGTTTACCGTACGTGTCGCTCGTACTTTTAAAAGTACATTTGACATGCAGCAGGAATGAACCTTTAGAGCCTCTGTATATCTCTAATAAACTGTCTTCGCCATTTTTCTCAGTGATGTACCAACTCGGCTCGGTAGCCTACAGATGCTACTGCGGTTAAGCTAGCTGACTGGCTGTGAACACACCAGACTCTATTTGATTTTCTGCGCAGTTTTGAGGCTTCAAAGGAACACAAATGTGTACCAAGAAAAATGTGTAAAGTCCAAACAGTGAGAGTGCTGGTGAAGCAGCAGCTGACTGCAGCTTTGGACGAGATATTTAAGCTGTTTGAAGAGAAGACTGACAGCCTGCTGGAGGATGTGGAGAACAATAAAGCAGGTGAGTAAAGAAGTGTGTGGAGTGAGTGTATACATGTTTCAGTCTCAACAGATGTGCCACAACAATATGCAAAATATTAAAGGGAACCTTCAAAGGAAAACTACCTGAGGCAGTCACAATATTCAAATAGCTGTTAATAATAGTAAGTAAACTACCGATTTAATATTTAAAAAAATGAAGCAGACCACAGGCACCCCAGCCTGTAATGTGGGAATGTTGAATTATTTTCATAATCGATTAATCTGTCGACAACTTTCTTGAGTAATTGATTTCCTTGTTTGGAATGTCTGCAATTGGTGAAAATCCCAAAATGTCCACAACCAAGGGTGTAACCATGGTGGAGACGCTGGGGGAGTCCAACTCAGAGCCCTCCAAGTGTTTTTTCAGTGCATTTGCCACAATAATATTTGTGAATATTTGAACATAGTTTTGAGAACTCTATTCACATTTGAATTCACATATAAAGTAATAGATTCCCACCAAGGTAATGGTTGTTTTATTCAGGCCCGGTGGATTCTTGTAAATGCCATTAGGAGCATTAGGAGGAGCCAGATTGTTTCACACATTATCTGTCTCATGTACTGCTGTCAGGATATAGATTATTATTATTATCGATTATAGTGAATGTTTAAGCAAATATGACAAAAACTATTTTTATAGAAAAGTACCTGCCAAAAAATATATATATTTAAAAAAACTATTGATATATGTAGTAATTCTCATAATAACTGGAATAAAATGAAAGGGATGGCCATGAGTACTTGATTTGGATGTCAGTATTCATTCAACATATAGAGTGCTCACATTTTTCTATAAAGCAAAGAAGTATTAAAAGTATTTTGACAAATAAACTAAATGAAGGTGCAGCGCAAGCTATGTAACATAGAACAATCAGTGTTAGCACTCACCATTGTGACGCCACCAGGGCAGAGAAGGTTAGCAGGCTCATCACTTAAATGGTGACTGGAGAAGGCTTAACCGAGAGTACAAGCTTCCATTGTGGTGAATCTCTACAGTCTGTGCAGCGTAGAAAGGTAGGCTAACCCTTACACCACCCACTTTTTCACTTGGGTGTTCATTTCTGTCCATATTTTTATGTTAATTTTCTTTTGCAATTACTTGATAATAATTTAATGCGAGTACTCGTATATGTTACTTAAAATGCCCATCCGTAATAGTAATACCTTTTTTAAATTAGGGCTTGTTCAACAGCTCCGTGTGTCTGTGCACTTACTTCATAACCAAAATCATTCACACGGTCTTCATCAACATGTTATTGGTTATTTTAGCAGTGAGTAAATGCTGTAAGTTTAGCTCTTTAACAGTTTTAACATGGTTCTGTTTGCCTGCTTTTAGGCACCCAGCAGCTGTTGGTGTGTAAAGAAGAGGTTCAGCCAGAGTGGAGGCCCGATGTCGACCAGAAGTACCCAGAGCCCCCACACATTAAAGGGGAACAGGGTGATGTCTGGAGCAGTCAGGAGGGAGAGCAGCTTCAAGGACAGAAGGAGGGTGATCTCACCAAGTTCCCGTTCACTGCTGTCTCTGTGAAGAGTGAACCAGAGTCTCGGTTAACCACACACAAGTTGAAGACCACTGATGGGCTGTTGGTACAGCAGCGTCTTGCTGCAGCTGTTGAACAGATCGCTGAGCTGTTTGAAAGAGCAGTAATGGAGTACGAGCAGGAGCTCTCCCACTCAAACAAAGAGATCATCCGACAACGGAAGCTGCTGGATGCTGTGCTAAAGCCTGAAGTTCGGTTACACAGAGCAGGTTGGTTCACACTTGGCGGCTGTGGTGCAGAGACAGAGCGGGTCGTCCCCTAATTGGAAGGTTGTTGGTTCGATCCCAGGCTCCTCCCGCCACATGTACAAGTATCCTTGAGCAAGATACTGAACCCCAGAATTGCTCCTGATGATGTGCATCGGTGAATGTGTATGAATGTTAGTTTCTGTTCGATGGACTTTGCCATCACTGAGTGAATGTGTGTGAAAGGGTGAATGTGCCACATAGTGTAAAAGCGCTTTGAGTGGTCGGAGGACTAGAAAGACGCAATACAAGTACAGGTCCATTTACCATTTACAATTCCATTTATATATATCAGCCGAAGTTGGCCTATCTCATCCGACATTCAGCAATATGAAAATTGTTATATAACCAGTATGTAATGCAAAAAGCCTGCAATGTATAGACAGATGAAGTCAACAATGCATCAGGTTGTGTATCTGAAGAGGTCAGGTTTTTCCAGTAACTGTGTTTCTGTATTTCTGTCTTCCCTGCAGATGTCCAGCACTTGTTGGTGTGTAAAGAACAGGTTGCCCCTGAACAGCATGAATGGAAGCCCATTCTGAAACAGGAGGAGCCAGAGCCCCTGAACATTAAAGAAGAACGGGAGCAGCTTCAAGGACTGGAGGAGGATGATATCACCAAGTTCCTGTTTACTGTTGTGTCTGTGAAGAGCGAAGATGATGAACAGAAAGCTCAGTCTTCACAGCTTAATCGAACACAAACTGATGAACAGATGGAAACAGGAGCCGATGGAGAAGACGGTGGAGGATCAGAACCAGCCAGAAACTTAGATCCAGCCGCTGATGCCAACAGTTTGGACTCCTCTGAAGCTGAGACTGAGGACAGTGACAGCGTTTGCAGGGAGACCAGAGAACCTCAGTTACATTTAAATGCTTCTCAAAGTGTGAGAAAAATAATTTGTGTTGTTTGTGGTAAAAGTCTTTGTTCCAAGAGAAGTATGTACAGTCACATGACAGCCCACATGGAATGTGACTCCTTTATTTGTCCGATATGTGCTAAAATATTCACCCATAAGAAAACATTACTTCCACACATGAAAATCCACATAGAGGGTAAGCCCTTCAGCTGTTTAGTGTGTAAAAAAGAATTTAACCAACGCCGGTCATTGATTGAACACATAAGAACCCACACAGGAGAGAAACCCTACTGCTGCTCCGTGTGTAACAAAAGTTTCAACAGGAAAGGGACGTGGCTCGTCCACACCAGAAGTCACACTGGGGAGAAACCCTTTAGCTGTTCGCTGTGCGGGAAAAGTTTCGGTCATCAAGCGCATCTGAGGAGACACGAGAAACGCCACTCCACAGAGAAACCGTTTGGTTGCTCAACTTGCGGGAAACGCTTTAATGACAAAGGACATCTTAAAAGACACACTAGGCTGCACACAGGGGAGAGGCCTTTCGGATGTGAGCTTTGTGGGAGAAAGTTTACTCAACAGGCCCATTTCAAAGCCCATAAATGTGTTCTCTTTCCCACCAATCCTTAAAAGGTCTTAAGGTACATGTTCACAGGATGAGTCATTTCTATGCTTTTCATTCACTGTCTATGTGAGCAGCCGTTCAATACAAACTTGTAGCGCTGTAATGTGCCTTGAGAGACGTTGGTCCTCATTTGCATAAAATAGAGTAGAGTAGAGCCCAGCACCATTACTCGCCGCCTCTGGAAACTCACAAATTCTTTTTAGACCAACCATTGCTGATGTAAACTGAAGACAGATTCAGCAACTACATGGCATATTTCACACTTTTTGGTCAACTTTTTTCGTTATAAGACATTATCAAAATGAGCTGCAATGTTGATGCGTTTTGAAATCCCGGAGCAGAGAGCATGTCTGATCAGGTGCAGCCAGAAGTGTTTGCATGGTTGTAGGAGGGTGTAGCCTTTTGTGACAATACCATAGATTTTAATTCTGGTCCGGTTCCTGTTCACACAGACTTTCCTGTTCATACAGACTCACATAACTTGTTGATTGTCATCAAATTCCAGTGACTGTGCTTTACGCAGCACTTTAATGCTTCTGATGTGTATATTTTTGTTCTTTCTGAAGAAAGAACTGATTGTAAGCATTATTAGTAGTATTAGACATGTTGTTAATAATGACTAACAGGTCGAGACAAAAAGGAGGCATCTTGTACAGTGATTACTGGGGGCTTATTGCTATGGGTAAGAGTCAGAGTCTGGTCTGGGTCCATTTTATGTGTCCTGCATCCCAGTGTAATTTATGTATACACATAGGCCCAAACAAACTGCACTGTTTCAAAACAGTGCTCAACAAACTGCACCAAACAAGACGTGTGAATACACATTAAGTTAAGGAAGTTAAATTTATCCACACAACCCAGATTGTGAGATAATATTTGGGAATGATGAATGATTGCAATGAATCACTGCAACAGCATGGATGGATAATGGTTCTTAAATATTTAAATTAATTTATAGGATTAGTGCCATTTGGCAGTGTAGTTGCAGATTGCCCCATGGGCGAAGGAGAAACTACGGTGTGAAAGGCCCATTGTCTGGTTGGTCCATCCTGGGCTACTGCAGAAACATTGCTGCCACCATGGAAGACAACCCACATCGTCTATAAATAAAAGTCGCTAATTTTAAGATAATAAAAACACAACTATTCTTATATTCAGGTGATTATACACTAATGAAAACATTGTTATGAATATTATATTCCTTTTCTGACAATAGATCCTCCTCAATGTTACACACTGGACTTTCTGAATAATGCAGGATGTTCTGTAATATGTACGTAAGCAAGGACTTTGCTAGCTTTTTGCTTTTTAAATTCTGGTTACTTGAGGGCAAAGCAAAGGCCACTGGTAAAGAAATATGTTAGTTACTAGCAAACTATCAAACAACGTAAACAAAGAAAAAGATGCTAACTACACTTACCATTCTGATACATCTTCTGGCTAGTTCTGACGGCGATAGGGAAACCATTTTCACAGCAAACCTTCTCACCATTACCACCGCCACTCTGTCACAGTGAAGGAAAATGCACAGTTCCTGTGTGTCTGTTTAAAGTCTGTTTAATATTTGCAGTAGACCTTTTTCACAGCAGCCATTTTTACTTGAAATAGTAGGGTAACACAGGTGTTGATACCACCTGTATGAGACTAATTAAGGTTCCATTCAGGTTAAACCGAGCTAGTGTTCTGCTATTGTGCTCATTGACTCACTGGAAAGGCTCTGTTACACTAAAAGTAAGGAAAGGATTTGATTGGGTTAATTTTAGCCAAATACTGATCCTTTAAAAGATCTTCATTGTTGTGTTTTACTGAATGGGCAAATAGAAAAGAGGGGGAGAACATGTGTTCAGTCAGTGTAAAGTCTGGTTATATGAGTGAGAGGCTGAGGTAGTAACATTGCTGAAAAAGCCAATCAAGTTTCAGCGATGTGTGTTCACTCTTAGCAACAGTATACAGTAGAAGCAAGCACATTGTTTCATTATATTACAGCAAATCTTTCCATAGATGCCTCAGTGATACTCTCGCACAAACGGTGACTCAAACTCAATAAAAGAAATGCTCTAATATAGTCTCCAGTCTTTGTATTCTGTGAACTGTAGTAGCTGGTGTTCACCACAAAGGGGCAGCACATCAACATGAAGCCTGCATTTGTGAAGCTGCTATGAGATCTGTTCTGGATTGCTGTTGGGCAGGAATCTCTTCTATGTGTGTGAAGTCACTGTCAACAAGGTTTGTCCACTTTCAGTGAACACATTTAAAGCTGCAGTAGGTCATTTTTATGAAAATATTTGCAAGAATCCACCGGGCCTGAACCAAAACAACCAATCAGAATAAAGAAAGATATAAAGATGCTTTGGGTTGAAGGCTTTAGCATAGTTGATTATTAAGTCTCATTCCCAAAGCATCCGTAGGATGCTAGAAGGAGCCAGAGGAACCTGATTTTTTCACAGATTATCTGTCTCATGTACTACTGTCAGGATATAGTGAAAGTTTCAGGGAATATGACAAAAAGTTATTTTTATAAAAGTTACTTACTGCAGCTTTAAATGCACGTGCTAATATTATGACCATGAAATCTTCTTACTCATGCAGTCAAACAATTAATAACATAGAAAAGCTTTATAGTGTGTGGGAAATGAATAAAGGCACATGCAACAAAACTGAAAAGTCCAAACCTGTAAGAGGTGTGTAAAAGATACACACAAAAATGTTACTTATTTGAAGATCCACCTTTGAGAAAGACTTGCTCCGTTTTTGGTAAGCTGTGGTGGAAAGTAGTTTATACATTTGCTTTTTACTTATATTTAAGTCTTTACATTCTATGCTAATAATCCAATCTGTAATAAAATATTAAGGATATATAACATTCTGAATGGAACTATTTTGTCTGCATAATTAGTTCTTTCACTTTTGTGATTTCAGACCATTTCCCAGTGTCTGTCATCACACTGGACACCAACATTGAACTGCCATGTTTCTACAGAAGCCCAGAATGGACAAACGAAACACTGGCTCTAGATAGGGACATTTGCTTTTTTCGAGAGTTTTGCAACCACCTTGGCTTTTCCTTCGCACTTGGAAGGGGAGGGTGAAGCGAGAGCGACCATATCACTTAAACTCAACTTTTTCTTTTACTTTCAGCACCCTTTGGTGGACCCCCCAATAACACACAAAATATTTTTATATTCTTAATATACAACCTTACCTATAATCAGGCCTACCTCCCATCCCTACTCACCCTTTTGTAAAATAACATTCATGCTATTAAGCATCTGTTGTGAATATTTATGATCACATCTGCAGATCAAAGAAAGTCAGTACTATGCAGAATTCCAACACAAAGCAAAGTGTAGACATGATTTATGTGAGCTCATGTTTTTTGGCATTTTTTTTGCATCTTTTTAAACATAGGGACACCAGTGCATAAACTCATCATGATCCATGCAATACCTGAACCTCCCTCCTCAGAGTCAGACTGATGCCTAGACTTAAGGTGCTTGGTAGCTAAAACTGAGGCTTTACTGCAGTTGCCCTTTGCTATATGTCAACCCTCCAAATATATAATATAAAAGCAAAAAGTTTTATGGCTTTTTTGCGATATGTCCAAACTTTTATTCATTGCTCACACAGGTGCGAATGGTGCAGCAGTAATTTACCAGTAGTATTGCAAAATGGTGCGACCCACAACAACGCTTCATGCCAGTTTGGCTCACTAAGCTGAGGTGAGGATGACAAAGGGTCTGTGTTCACATACTGTACATGCACGTGTGTGTTTGTGTGTGTGTGGCTGACAAGCTATAGAATATGAGGGGGAGCCTGCACTTCTCACAGGGGGGTACTGCTCACACATACGCATACACACACATACAGAGAAGCTGATAAGTATTCAGACCTTGTCTAGACTGCATCAAGAAACCTAACACCCCCTCCTCGCCCCCCGCCCCTCGCTCTCTCTCTCTCTCCCTCTCTCTCTCTCTCTGCATCAATGCTCCAGCATCCATAAAGGGGAAGAGAGAGAGCAGAGGGGAATCCCACCAGCCTTCCTCCGATCCAAAAGGAGATAAGGCAAGTAAATAACATCTCCATCTATTTTATTTCTTCTTTCTTGTAATTTTCTTAATTAATTATCATCTAAATAGAAATAGACATTGATTTGCCCTACATAAATGATGATTCATATGATATCCATCTGACCCTTGTTCATACACCTTCTCCACAGCTGTTATATGCCTCCCTGTGTACCGGGGAAGAATACTAAACATTTGGGCTGGGTTCACCCGTACGCTACAGATAGCTACAACTTGTTATTACCAGTATCAATTTAAAATAAGTTGAGTCTATTATGCTGTGTATTTGACAGTTTGAATTGAGCCACTGATCTGTGAAAAATTGTGATGTAGTCTGTCATTTTTATAAAAATAACTTTTTGTCATATCTGCTGAAACTTTCACTATATCCTGACAGTAGAAGATGAGACAGATAATCTGTGAAACAATCAGGTTCCTCTGGCTCCTCCTAGTGCTCCTAATGGTATTTATAAGAATCCACCGGGCCTGAACGAAAACAACCAATCAGAGCAGAGAGCCAGCATTGGTTTTTGTCGACTCAACAATCTTCAAGCCACCAATCAGAGCAGAGAAAGATATAAAGACGCTTTGGGTTGGAGGCTTGAAGATAGTTGATTGTTGAGTCTCATTACCAGAGTCTCAAAGTGTCTGTATTTGACGTCCTGGGAATGAGACTCTTCTGAGCTCTGATTGGTTGTTTTTGTTCAGGCCCGAAAAAGTTGGAATGATAAAATGCCATCAGGAGGCCAGGACCATGCATGGATTTATGTAGTAATCTTAATTAATACACACAGAAATCTTAATCCAACAATGACTTTCCAGATGGTTCTGTGTAAAAAAAAATAGCCAGCTCCGTTAGGTTCTCAGTACTGTTGTTCATACCAGGTATGAGGATAGGAATAAATGGCTAAATATCAGTTCATCATGCTTAAGGGGTTGCCATTAGTATAGTTCTGATAATGTTTGAACTTGAAAAGATGTGCTGAAACAGAACTTGACTATAATCTAAAATCTGGCTCCTCCTAGAGCTCCTAATGGTATTTGCAAGAATCCACCGGGCCTGAATGAAAACAACCAATCAGAGCCAAGAGTCAGCATTGTTTTTTGTCGACTCAGCAATCAACTGTCTTCTTTAGCTCTGATTACTTGTTTTCGTGCAGGCGCAATGGATTCTTGCAAATGCCATTGGGATTCTTGTAATTTACTTTACACCTTGGCATTGGATCCATTGTTAATTTTTTTTTTTCTTTTATTGCCTTTAATTGATAGTAACAGCTGAAGATAGACAGGAAAGGGGGGTAGAGAGAAGGGATGACACGCAGCAAAGGGCCGCAGGTCAGATTCGAACCATGGGCCGCTGCAGCAACTCGGTACATGGTTGGCAGATCTACCAGATGAGCTAACTGGGCACCCTGCATCCATTGTTAATATAAAAATATTCATAGGTGCAACTTTACAGTGTGGTGAAAGCTACGTAAATCTGGCACAAACACAAAAGCATATTAAGAGATTATTAAGTCCAGAATGCTGGGTGTGGTTAGTCCTACTAATCACAGTTGCCGCCAAGTCAGGGCTGGCCTTGAGTTGTGTGCTTATTCTTCAGTAAATCATACTTTCACTGCGACATGAATGCTCTTATTTGTTCTAAGTTGAATGATTTGGATTTGTTGATATTGAATGTAATTCATGCTATTTATTTTAACTTTAAAGCTGCAGCAGCTAACTTTTACAAAAATATATTTTTTGCTGAATATTTCACTATATCCTGACAGTAGAACATGAGACAGATAATCTGTGAAACAATCAGGTTCCTCTGGCTCCTCCTAGTGCTCCTAATGGCATTTACAAGAATCCACCAGGCTTAAACGAAAACAACCAATCAGAGCTGAGAAAGATAGGTGGTTGTTAAGTCTCATTCCCAGGTTGTCAAATACTGACACTTTTGATCCATTTATAGCTGGACTTAAATTAATCACTCACTTGTTAACCAGCGTTCTAAGACCAGTTTGATGGTAAACTCAATTCAAGTGTGTTTGTTTGCTCTCTCTGATTTCAAACCTATCAGTCCACAAACAACCTAATGCTTAAACTGAAAAAGAGGTCAGGCCTCTGAAAAGTCATAGATTATCTTGAGGAATGCTCGAAACTAATTTCTACAATGGATGCAGAGTGCATTACTGTTTCCTACTGAGTCACAGAGCTCCCCAATGAATTCATAAATTATGAGTTGAAAAAGCTGAGACTGCTGCAGAGAAGAAATGGTAGAGGGCTGTGGGAGAGAGTGCTGTTTGTGTGCAGCCTGATTTATAACGCAGGAATGAAAAACAGGTGGAGAGGGTAATTAAAAAAGAGAAATAGAGGATGTAGAGAGGGAGTAAAGCTATGATGGAAGGAGAAAAGAGGACTGGAAATGTGGGAATTCTTACTGGTTTGTGTTTTTTATGTGGAGTGGTTTCAGGCTGCGGGACTTAATGAATGCATGTACATGTCTTGTGTGCTCAGGTTTTAGTGTGTGTGACTGATGGCGCTTCAGCTAAGAGAGATTTAATGTTGCTGGCAGGGTGTTTTAAAAAGCATGGGAATGTCCATCACTGTCTCCCCACGCACACACACACACACACACACACACACACACACACACACACACCTGATTAAAGCAAAGAACGAATTGCGTCTATTTCTGTATCCACTCAGGAGCGCTGGGGAGGGAAGCAGGGCTGGCTGCTTCTCCTCTACTCTCCTCATTCCCTACAGACTAACAACTGCATTAACTGCTTTTTTCACTGGGTTGATGGCAGGGGTCACAGATGTTGACTAACAGTGTAACCGAAAATTCAGAACACACGCATTTGTAATGTATGACTGTAGTGTAACATTTTTAATTAGCGCTAAACACTAAGTACAGCCGAGATGGATGAAAATGTTATTAGTTTTGGAGGTATTTGGATATAAACCAAAGTAGACAAAGAAAAAGTTTGACCTGATCATAGATGGAAAGTCAGAGGATCAAATTATTACACTTCATCTGCTGGAAATGACGAATGTGTGCACCAGATTATATGGCAATCCATCCAATAGCCCGGAACAGAACCAGACCTGTCTATTATTTGAAAGCTGGGGCCCTGCAGAACCCAGAAATGCCCAGCTGGGAGACACAGACCTGATCACACCGATTATTTTTGAATCATTATCAAGTTTTTATCCTCTTCTGGCAGAAATTGGCTTCTACAGAATCACACACACGAGTGACACAAAACAACTAGTAGCCTATGCCCCCCATAAGAATGCAACCATCTTTAAACCTGAATCATGGCACAGCAACCCTTTATTTAAAGACTCACCAAACTGTAGATCCAGGCTACTACTCTGTTCATGATACACCAAAGATGCTAACAACGTTAACTTTCTGAACGTCTCTAGGTACACATTATTTGTGAGAGAGAGATAGAAATCTCGCATTAATGTTGATGTCCAGTATGATGACACTGGGAAACGTGACTTTGTTTATTTGTCAATTTTGTCAATAAATAAAAAAGTAAAAAAACTAATAATAAAGAAGTATACATATATAAGTAATGTTAAATATGTTAGACCAGAAATGCTCTTCGTTATGTATATAAATTGATATTCCAGTGGAAATTTACACAGTTGCAAGTGTAACAGTTGCTAGCTGCCTGTTTTTACAGAAAATATGTAAACGTGAAAGCAAAAAGCAATCTAATTTCTGTTTCAACAAACATATTCAGATAGCACTGACATTTTGTTTAATATATATAATATATAATAAGTTAGTATTGGACTACTACAGTATTTTTCAACATGCATAAGCTGTCCAACTAAGTTTGGCATTAAGTGGTAAATTCCATTTAATCCAGTTACTTTATGAAGTTAAACTGTAAAGAAGTGCATCTCAAAGGAAAGATTCTGAATTTAGCAAACAAAGCTTAATAAGTTTTAGTCATAAGGAAGCCAGCTGGGTCAACATTTCTTAAGAAATCTGATGTGTTTTATTGAGATGCAGGAAAACTGGGGGAACCATGCCAGCACAGTGGGGGTCATATATTAATCAAAATCCTTTTCAGTAATTAGTATTTGCTTTAGTCTACTCAGACTGTAGAATGGGCAGGCCCTACAGTTTGGCAGTCCAATCCAATCTAATCCAATCTAATTTGCTGTGTAGTGCCAGCCCTGGTGGATCAATCTCAGAAATGCCAACCCTCTGGATCCATTTTAGAGAGTAATTTGCAGAGTCATCCATCCAGAGTCTTGTTTAAATCAGAAATCTTTTTTCTTTAGCTTCTTTAGCACGGTAATGAGAATAGCTCCAAACATTTCAGCAGTTCCTCTGGGGGTGACCACATGACATTAAAATCGATCTACTTCGTACTACTTTGTATCCCAGCACTGACTCAAATCTTTTTGGGTTTGACCATTGAAAACTGCAATAGGTCACTGTTCAGCTGTTTGTTCTCTACTTCGTCCTGCCCTATGTTCTGAGGTGGCTCCAGCCTCCAGTTCAGCTCTGTTCTGTTTCTTTAGTCTCTCTGGATTACTGTGTCTCTGTGGATTACAATCATTACAACTTTCAGTAACACTTCACAATAAGGGTGCAAATCATGTACTTAAAGCTGCAGTAGGTAACTTTTATAAAAATAACCTTTTGTCATATTTGCTGAAACTTTCACTATATTACTAAATTCTGCAAACTTGACCTTTTAATAGCTGTATTTTCAATGCTAACAGAAAAGGGGCTAATGCTTTTGAATGTGACAGAACAACCAGCAAGGAGACTGCATTTGGTTTATTTATTTCGTCACAGAATAATATCACACATGTTCCACTGTTCAAACACAGAACACACAAGTTCCAAGTTCAGACCTGGAAACACCTGGAAATTAACAGAAATGACCAAATATCCTGAAAAAAATTATATCTTGACTTGGTCATTAATTGTTCATTAGCCTTTGCTGTGGCCACATTGATGTTGTGTCAGAGGGAAACTGGAGTCCATTTTTGAAAACAGGAAAATGTCCTGGAAAGGTCATGGGAAATTATTTCTTAAAGTGTGGGACTCACTCAGGGTTACCAATCTTTATAGTGTAGAGACATTGCCTGCTGCAGTCAATGTCATGTAAAACTGACAAGGGAAGTACACCGTGCTCATGTTAATGTTTTTAATTGTTCCAACTACAGGGTTGTGTTTAGTTTTGTCCAAGTTTTAGACATAAAAATCAAACATAATGGCATAATGATGGCAGGTCTAACTGGTCTAAGGCTCAGTTGGAGCATGACTTAAATCCTGTATCCTGGATGAGATATCGTGCCTATATCTTTATTTTGTCTATATTGTTGCCCCGATATGTTGTGATCAGCGTATACTCTTTGTGATACAGAAGTCAGGTTTTTAATTGTGACGTGTGTCTCCTGCTTCTCAGGCTGACTGCCTGGTTGACTGGCTGACTGATTATGTCTGATATAATCCTTTGCTATCAGCTTTATATTGCACTGCCAAAGCATGCCACTGGGATTAAGGATCTTCCCCATCCCCTGAACGTGTGTGTGTGTGTGTGTGTGTGTGTGTGTGTGTGTGGACATCTATTGCTTTCTACTCCTGATCTACTGACTGCAGATCAAACCAAACCCTCCTACCAAATAACTGGTGTCACTCTGTTGGGAGTGAAGGGGATTAAGGCCACATGGTCCAAACCATGTGTGTACGTCTTAGGGGGTGGTCTATGACCAAATATAGAGACTGACCTCTGTCATCCTAGCTGTTATGTTCTAGACCCCAGGTTCACGTTGTAAAATGTGGGATTTAATGGTGTCCTGGTGGCCAATGTACAGCCTGATTCTAAAGACAGACAGGACGGACATCTGTAGTATCTGAAACATTACACATCATTAACAACATGCTGAAAAAAGTGTAATAATCTGCTGTGCGTGTTAAATCTGCATGTTTTGACTGAGTCAGTGGTAGCTGAGCTTGTTGCAGGTTCAAATATCCTCAGTACTATAGATCATATAGTTGATCCTGCTGATATATTATTTCTACACAAGAGGAAATTAGATAAGATAGAACTTTATTTATCCAGAGGGAAACTGTTGTACAGTAGTTGCAGTACAAAGTAGGAAAAAGTGGGGGAAAAAAATATAAAAAAATCTAGGACTGGACTAAAGATTTTCATAGTCGACTAGTAGTTATGATACTAATTTAATTAAAATAAATACTTTTTTTTAAAGGTCCAGTGTGTATCTATTGGCAGAAATGGAATATAATATTCATAGGTATGTTTTCATTAGTATATAATCATCTGTCACGATTCTGAGGCTGAGCCCAAAAGCAAACTGAGACTGGTTGTAGTGAACACAAAGTCTTTATTTCTTTGGTGAGATGAAGGGTGATCTGGAGGCTAGCTGAAGTCTGGGGTTTGAGTCCAGGCGTGAAGGTGGTAGAGGAAAACCCGGTGTGGAGAGCAGTAAATCTGGTGGCAGAGGAAACCGTTATAAGAATTTGGTAAGCAGGCTGGCAATCAAAGGACTACACTGGCTAACTAGTTCAAAAGAGTTGAAGCGAAGCACACAACATACTGTGTGTGGTGCAACGATCCACAAGGGACTGGATGTCAGCCAGGTTTCTTATAGTGGTGAGGTGCAGTCTTGATCAAAGTCAGGTGAGTGGAGACAGACAGACAAACCCAGCAAGCACACCTCACTCACACTAAGAGGTAGAAAACAAAACCACACAATCACACAGCAGGAGTCATTACATCATTTGAAAATAAGAATTGTTTTACCTTAGAATGAGACATTTTTATCTACAGACGTTGCAGGTCGCCTTCCGCAGAGTCTGCCATGTTGCTAACAGAAAAGGGGCTAATGATTCTGAATGTGTCAGAACAACCAGCGTGAACCAGCCTGAAGACTTAATATTTAGTTCACTTATTTCAACACAGTGTAACAACACACAAGTCTCGTTGTTCAAAATACCAACAACAAGAAAGATAGAAAGACAGAAAATTGAAGATATTTGATTCTTTTTTTTTTTAGCTCTCTGATTGGTTGTTTTGTTCAGGCCCAGTGGATTCTTGCAAACGCCATTAGGAATTTAATGGCATTAACTAGGAGGAGCCAGAGGAACCTGATTGTTTCACAGATTATCTGTCTCATGTTCTACTGTCTCAAGTTATTTTTATTTAAGTTACCTACTGAAGCTTTACATACGTGATTTGCACCCTTATTATAAAGTGTTACTGAAAGTTGTAATGATTGTAATCCACAAAGACGCTGAACCAGAGGCTTGAGCCACCACAGCACATAGGGCAGGATGCAGTAGAGCTTAACTAACAGCTGAACAAAACAGTGGGACATAAATGGAATTGTGTAGAACAAAGTGGAGCAATGAATCCAGTGGCCATCACCCCAACCACTAATGGTGTACTGTTATTAGCCTGATGCTCCCTTTAGGCAACATTATTAGGAATCACTCCTTTAACTTTCACTGTTATGCAGATGATACGCAGTTATATCTATCAATCAAGCCCAATGAAATTAATCAATTATCTAAATTACAAACATGTCTTAAGGACATAAAATCCTGGATTAGCTGTAATTTTCTGATGTTAAACTCAGAAAAAAACGAAATTCTTGTTCTTCTTGGCCCCAAAACCCTTAGAGACTCACTGTCTAAAGATATAGTTACTCTAGATGGCATTACCTTGGCCTCTAGCACCACTGTCAGGAATCTTGGTGTTATCTTTGATCAGGATTTGTCATTTAACTCCCACATGAAGCAGACCTCTAGGACTGCCTTCTTTCATTTATGTAATATTAGAAAAATTAGACACATACTATCACAGACAGATGCAGAAAAACTAATCCATGCATTTGTTACTTCTAGGCTGGATTACTGCAACTCTTTATTATCAGGTTGCCCCAATAAGTCCATTAAAACGCTCCAATTAATTCAGAACGCTGCAGTACTGACAGGAATTACAAAAAGAGATCACATCTCTCCTGTACTAGCTTCTCTGCACTGGCTCCCTGTAAAATGTAGAATAGAATTTAAAATCCTCCTCCTCACCTATAAAGCTCTTCATGGTCAGGCCCCTTCATATCTTAAAGAGCTCATAGTACCCTATTACCCCACTAGAACACTACGTTCTCTGAATGCTGGGCTACTTGTGGTTCCTATAGTCTCTAAAAGTAGAACAGGAGCCAGAGCCTTCAGTTACCAAGCTCCTCTCCTGTGGAACCAGCTTCCAGTTGTGGTTCGGGAGGCAGACACCCTCTCCACATTTAAGAGTAGGCTTAAGACATTCCTCTTTGATAAAGCTTATAGTTAGGGCTGGATCAGGTGAGCCTGAACCATCCCTTAGTTATGCTGCTATAGGCCTAGACTACCGGGGGATTTCCCATGGTGCACTGAGCTCCTCTCTTCCTCTCTCTTTCTGCACTCATTCATGTTCCATTAATGCATGTTTCTAACTTAACTTCACTTCTTCCCCGGAGTTCTTGTGCTTTCTGGTCTCGCAGGTTCTTATCGATCCTGGTGGAGCCTCCTGCCATGGTCCTGCTAGATTGCCATTGCCAATACTGTTGTTGCTGTGCACCTGTCTGTCTGTCTGTCTGTCTGTCTGCTCTCTCTCTCTCTCTCTCTCTCTCTGTCTCTCTCTGTGTCTCTCTCTCTCTCTCTCTCTCTTTCACCCCAACTGGTCGAGGCAGACGACCACCCACCTAGAGCCGAAGGGTCTGTCCTAGGTTTCTGCCTTTTAACAGGCAGTTTTTCTTTGCCCTTGTCGCCAAGTGCTTGCTCATGGTGGTACTGTTGGGTCTCTGTAAATAATGTTATAAAGAGTTCAGTCTAGACCTGCTCTATTTGAAAAGTGTCCTGAGATAACTTCTGTTATGAATTGGCGCTATACAAATAAAATTGAATTGAAAATTGAATTGAATTGACAGCAGCCAGGACACTACTTTATGTATCACAGTGCTCTGGTCCAGTAGCTATGATGGTTGATCAGCAAAGTGGAAAAGCCTTCAGTGTGGTGTCTTACCTTTCAAATGGTGTACATGATTGAATTAAGCGAGTACAGATATAATGGTGTGGTTGGGCAACTATGGCCAGCTATCAGACAACAGCAGTGTATCACACAGTCTAAAGTGATCTGATATGCACTTCACTGCTTGTAGTCTTTGTAGCTCTGGAATCAAAGCCTCTACTGTTTCTCTCACCATAAATCTCATTGGATAAGTGCATTATAGCACATTAGTGGCAAGTCTGTCTACGTAGCTGTCTAAAATACAATAATAATTTAGGTATGTCGATTATCCATTCAACTCTATTGTATAGGGCACTGGCTCTGGAACATGTTTCAATACACTAAGCAGCACAAATGAAATTCCATTCACTTCCATTTCATTGAGAGGGAGGAAGAAAACTTGGAGACAAATATCTCAAAACCTGGGACCAACAGGGGTCCTTGAGTGGGTCGTAAGGGGTCCCCAGCAAAAGGAGAAATAGAATATTTTAACTGTTATCACCTTTTTGGAAGTTGGAACAAATAGTAGGAAATAGGGTTGGCCCCTTTTTGATTGAGTGTTTGATCACTGTAGCCTGTGTCCTTATTGCAGTGGCCCAGATTCCATCCCAACCTGCAGCCCTCTTGCTGCATGTCATCCTCTCTTTCCTCACAGTTCCTGTCTTTCCTTAATTGTCTCTGTCCTTTAAAGGCAAAAAAGCCTTTAAGACTTCCCTGCACTTTTGTTTTTTAGGTACGTCATTGTACACAGAAGGAGGAACAACATGGCAGTGATATGTAATGGAGGGAAGTGTAACTCTGGACAGCAGTTGCTCCGATGCTTGACAGTTGCCTTTGGGCATCCTCTAATTTGACCCCCTTTAACCAGCCTCTGACTTCTGGCCTGGTGCCACAATGTTGGTTGCAGTGTGAAATTCGACCCGGAGTCTCCACACGGTATTTTATTTTTAAAAAATGATCGGATTCTTTATGCCGTTTCATTGTCTGACTTCCTGCCAGTGGATCTGTGCTGCTTGATGCGAGTGGGTCGCGGCTTCCATCAAAAATAAACCAGCTGCTTATTCTACATGGAGCTGAGTGGACTCTGGGATGCACCATGGTGCTTCTGGTGGAATTTAGAGCATTGCCTAGAATGGACACGATCAACTCTGGCGACCACGGCTGTGCCCGGTGGAATTCGGGGTGAGACAGTCTGAAAGTAGGCATCTAGTGGCAATAGCGTGAGAGTTGGCAAACCCAGCTGTTAGTAAATGCTCAAGTGAAAGCCAAAGTCAGATATCTCAAATTCAAAGTTTATGTCTGTGGTAATAACAGCAAAACCAGCTTTAGCGATACTGTGTCAGCAAACATTATCATATATGGCTAATATTGTCCAATTTAAATCAAAACATGAAACCAAACACAGAGTGCACCGTGGGTAGTTAACAGAGCTTGGATTTTTTTTAATAAACAGGAAGATTGCCAGTTTCGAATGGTTGTTATAAAATAAAATATTACAAATTGCACCAAAAAGATAAAAAAAAAAAACATTTGGTTTTTGATCCAATGCTGATAAATGATTAACCTAATAATAACCACAGTACAATTATTACTTTATGAGTAGGCCTACTTAATTTTCCTCTCTCAGCCTCAGGATAAACACCAGAAACACCAGGCAACATCTGTGTGTGTGTGTGTGTGTGTGTGTGTGTGTGTGTGTGTGTGCTGTTTTCCTCCCAGCATGAACTACTAATGAACACACAATAGGTGCTCCATTTGGTCTGCCTTTGGTGCTGTGCATAAACACACACACACACACACACACACACACACACACACACACACACACACACACACACAGACTTGACATTTAAAATAGAATACAGGTCCACACAGAATGATAGCTGTTAAAGGTCCATTGCGTAACATTTAGGAGTATCTGTTGGCAGAAATAGAGTCTGCCATGTTGAACCACCATGTTTCTACAGTAGCCCAAAATGGACTAACCAAACTCTGGCTCTGGATAGGGAGTTCACAGAGGGTGAAACAAGGGAGTTGCAATCTGCAATTACACCGCTAGATGCCACGAAAACCTACACACTGGACCTTTAAGTCCAAGAAATCCAAGGTGACCTCCAGAAATCCCCAAATCATCATTTAGTCAAGACCCCATTCACCCCAACCTCAAATAGTTTTGCCTGCTGTTGTCCGGCAGATGGCACAGCATCGGGTCCTGCAGCATTCAGTCCTGCACCAGCAGGACTGTAACAGCCAAACTTGTATTCTTAAATTTTAATAAGATTTGTAGGCCAGGGTATCCCTGCAGCACTGCAGTACTTCAGTATAATGCTGTTTGTCACACATTTGACCTTTATCAAACAAATCTCAGCTTCTGCAATTTGTATAATGCCTGTTTACAAGCTGTTTAACATCACAGTATATATACATATATGTGTGTGTGCAGTATCTGTCTACATTTAGTTCTTCCATCTTATCAGACAGGGATCCCTGAGACTGTATTTTATCAAATCTGGGTCTACGGCCTGATATGTATCCATTTGGGGTCCTTGACACCAAAAAGGTGGAAAACCACTGCTATAGAGGATCTGAACTCCAATTCCACTGACTTATATACAATAACTTTATCAGGCAGTGTAATAGATTTACAATAGATTTTAAAGTAGTGGTAATAACAGTACTAACAGTAGATGAACTAACAGTCATAATTGCACAATCTAGCTAATATTGACTTTATGTAGGCCGCTTATTGTTTTTGCTATGTTCCATATTTTAATTTTGTTTCTTAAAGTCAGGTTGCTATAGGCTGGCTGTTGTAGTAAGAAAGTCTTGGTCCTGATCGATTCACACAGTGTATATGTACATTTCTCAAAGTTGGGAACACAGTTCAACAGTTGTCGCCTGACAACAGCACATACTCCACAGATACTGGATTAAAAAGACTAAATTTGGCACAAAGCTACCTACGGCGTTAACTAACTATAACTAATGTAGCTCAAATAGCTTTATATGCTTCTTTCATCAGTACAATGATGCTGGCTGTGAAGTTATTATGGCATTCTTCACAAATGATCAACAAATGTCAGATTATCAGACACTGATCCTAACTGCACCCATGATCAGCAGTAAATCTGGTAAAGGTGCATTCTGTTATTATGGGCACATTCTCTGGAACAAACTGCCTGATGATATAAGATGTACCATAACTGTGGTGTCTTTTAACACAAGCCAAAGACCTACCTGTTCTCTCTCTCTCTCTCTCTCTCTCTCTCTCTCTCTCTCTCTCTCTCTCTTTGAGCATGTGTAGGTGGGTATGTTTATGTTGGTGGGTGGGTATGGGAATGAATAATTTTATGTTCCATTTTATTTTGTTCATATTTGTGTGTGGTACACTGAGCTCACATTGTATGAAATGTGCAACATAAATACATTTGAATTTATGTGACATGAGTAAACCATTTTTGCTTTGTTGGTCTGGACAAACTGATTTATAAACATGATTTAAAGGTCCAGTGTGTAGGATTTAGTGGCAACTAGTAGTGTAGTTGTAGACTGCAACTCTCTCAGGCACAGAGTGGCGACAGCCTGTGGGGAGCGAAGCAAGGGAGGAAAAAAGAGAGATGGAGAGAGAGACAGAGCAGCCAGTAGACAGCTTATTTATCAGCAGGAGGAACTCTCCTTATTCTAAACACCTTGGACCAAATTACCTCTCCTACTATTAGTGATATGACCACAAAACCATCCTCATTGTGTGATGACTTTGTCTTGTTTTGTGAATTTTGCAACAAATAGAAAAATGAAACCCAAGGTGCGCAAGGGTTCTATGTGTAAGGAATTTAACTGGATTTTTAAAAAAGCTACTAAAATACACACTTGATGTGCAAAGGCCTTAATACATATCGGTGGAACGTGCTGCAAGGGCTGCTCTTTAGGGAGCGCTAACGAGCAATTTTGCCACGCCCATGTGCGAGACCCATATGACACGCACATTTTCACCAATGGCGTGTGTGCTGCTGATGAGTTTTTCAGAGTATGTTTAGGGCGTGAAAACTGTGATTCATTTTGCTGCTCGGGCCTTAATAATTTAATTTTTAAGGCCCCATCTATGCAAGAAATTATATATAGTTGTTCATGAGGAGAAACCAGCCACTGGGTGTGTGTGAGCTCTGTCTGTACTCTTCTCCTTCCTTTTCTCCCTTATAATGATGATGCATAAATATAGCAGTGCTGTAGTAGCTAAAGAAAGAAAGAACGAAAGAACGTGTCTAGAAAACCTGATACATGCAGACTCATCGGGTCAACATTGAACAATATCTGTGTAAAGCTGCAGGACTTTTCTATCTCTGTGGAGAAAGCATCTCATCAAGCATCTCTGCTCTCTAAGTCAACACATCTGTCACTCCCCTGCTCCACCTCCTCATCTACCCATCCCTGCCTTCTTCCATCCATCCATCCCCCTCCCACTGGCCACCCATATGTCTCTTTCCATCCCCCTCCACGCCCGTCCCCACCCCCACCCCCTCTTCGACCCCCTTCTCTCCCTGCCGGTCGACCATATAGCATGTTCCTACAAGTACCGCAGCACAGAGGTGGACTGTACCATTGTGCGTGTGGTGGGTGGGTGGCAGCAGGGAGGAGTGCTGCAGAGAGAGAGAGAGAGAGAGAGAGAAAGAGAGAGACTGGCACTATCCTTTCCTGTTGTAATCCCTCGGTGCTGTCTCTCTGTGTTGATGCTCTTTACATATACAGAGTAGAAACTTCAGACAGTAATTTTAAACCTACGAATGAATTTTAGGAAAGATTTGAGGTCGGGACGCTATCGGTTGGATGTAAACTTCAGTTTGACCCTGTTTTGGTAAGAGAAGTGATTTTCAATGCAGTTTGTGTTGTTTATGTTGGTTTGGATTGTAAAAGTGTGTGTTAAATGACAAATCTCACAAAAATGAGATATTATAATAATTGAGTCTTGACCCAAAAACTACTTTAGGATTTAATTTATTTTATGATTATGGAGCATAACCAGATATTCATAGTTGTTATGGAGTTTATTTTGTTCTCTGACTTAAATACATATTATTCTCATATAAAAAACAGTATTGTCATGTTTACATTTATAAGTCTTGTTTTAAAGTTCCAGACTGAGTAGAGGAAGCATTTCCAACATCAGAACTTTTGCTTCAATAGCAGATGACCAGCTGTATCTACACAAATTGTACTGTATGTAACACATAGAAAACCCACTTTAATTGACACTTTGACGACAGGGAGTTTAGAGTCTCTAACAAGGTGCAAAGTAAATCAATCAATTGATAACAAGCAGGAAGCACGAACGCTTCTATTTAGCAGCGATTGCTTGCCAACAGCATTATATATTGAAAGTACAAAAACAAACGTGCACACACCTCATGTTACATCCTGTATCTTGCAACATGCAGCCTATACTTTATATAATAGGATGCAGGTTTGCAATGGGTTAAGGACTTTTTGTTTTGTTACTGTTGACTCATCTGCTGTTCACATCAATACAACAACAAGATGGGCTTTTTTCTCTGGGTCCATGGCAAAGCTTTTTTTATAGGGATGAGTGTAACGTTACTGGTATCTGTCAGTGTTGTAGATGCTTGTTTTTAAAGTTTTAGGGTCCTCATTTGAAAAAAGAAAAAGATTTTCTTTCACTTTCCAAATCATGATTGTGTCCCTTCGAAAATAATCAAAATGTTATAGAATGGCAAAACATCAACCTCGGTCAGAACCTTGGCCAACTTTCTCCTTTCCTTTACTTAGATATGCTATGTGCTAAGCTAATCTATATTGAAAAGATGACATGATTAAGAGATAAAAGCGCTATATATATATATATATATATATATTATATATATATATATATATAAAACCATAGTAAATAGTCACATGTTAAGTTAGCCAGTGTTAGCAAAATGTAAGGTGACTAGCTAGCTAATCTACATTATTTGTGACCTGCTCCATCATTTTGAGTCACTTTGACCCAGAAACACATTTTGAGTTTTCTTCATGGCTGTAAAGAGGGAGTCTCAGCTTTATGGCCATACCAAAATTTTTTTTCTACTCCAAAAATTGTATGAGACACACCCTTCCAAAGGTTGACTGTCACCAAACCTTGTTTTTGAGAAAAAGGGCTCTAAAGATAGCAATCAACATTCCGCCATATTCCAAATGAATTGAAAGACATTTATAGACAGTTTATATTCAAATAAATAAACTTACAATTCAAAGTGCTTTACATAATTATAATCAGAGACATTGTATGCTACCATCGGGTCAGCCACGAGTGGAATATCTTCCTCCTCGCCTCCATCACACTCACTTTCTTCGCCATCATGATCGGAGCCGGCTGCCGCTGTCACTCTCACTCTCAGCTGCCGGTGCGGTGAAAAAGTCCGTAATAAGGTCGATCCAGTTGTCGTAGCATGTCTTACAGGAATTGAATTTAAAAGTCGAGCAATTTCGTCGTCGCGAAAATTAATTTTGTCTAGGCTGTCAATCTGTCAATCTGTCTCTGTGTCCGTGTCGATCTAAACTGACAGTTGACAGATGACACAGATGACACAAACACGCTAGCCGGTGTTTTGAACTCTGACACCTGTTTCGTTTTATTTATGCTAGCTATATTTATCCTTTGTATTTTACATTAATTTTGACATTGTATTAAGCTGAGACTTTATTTAATTAGAAACATGTAAAAACTGAAAATAGCCCAAAATTGTATTTTCATGTAAAAACGTGTTTCTACACAAACGGGCCGCTGCGACATCCGACTCATTTTGATGGAACGCGTCACATTTGTTATTATTATGGAAACTAATTAGCAAGCTAATAGTTGATGTAGATTAGCTAGCTAGTTAGCTAACTTAAGATGTGACTTTAAACTATACAGTGTATATATAACTTTATCTTTTAACCATATTCAAAATGTGGTTGTCTTTTCAACATAGATTAGTCTAGCACATAGCATTGAGCGTAGTAGTACAGAACGCAGTTTTTTTTTTTTCAGGATGGTGAAGTCATGACCCTCCTACTGCTCCGGTTGGAATACTCATTGCTGTCATTGGTTTGGTTGGGTAGGTTTAGGCATGCAAATCAGTAAGGTAAAAATAGAAGGATAAGCATCAGAAACAGAGTAGGCAGGTCATGACTTCGCCATCCTGGGATAAAAATTTTGCATACAGGAAAGAGAGTTGACAGAGGGTTTAAAAGGGGTGGGGCTTAGAAAGGATCAATTGGCCAAACTTTTTGTTGCCCCAAAAGTTTGTTGCCTTCCGAAACGACTTGGCTCTGGTCTGGAGATATCTCGGGTATATTTTGGTCCAGAATGACAGTCATGGTCCCCATACGATGTGTACCCTAATAACTTCCTAAATCATAATATCTTGACAACTGTTGGATGGATTGCCATGAAATTTAATTTTCATGTTCCCCTAAGGATGAAGTAGTAAACTGGGTGATTCCATGACTTTTTGTAGTGCTGCTAGTATCACCGCCAGGTCAAAATTGCAATCTGTACAATGATTTGCTTTAAACATCAGCATGTTGGCATGTTAAAATGAGCAATTAGCTGTACAACTGTGCACAGTTTCACAGAGCTGGTCAGTAGAAGGTTGCCACCACTTAAGATTCTGGACTCTGTACATAGGCATTCTAGATGGGTTACATCCACAATTATTCATTCTAGTATCCTGTATACTTTCTTCCTTTTCTCCCCCAGTCCGACAACCCTGGAGAACAGTCTGTGCTTTGGAACAAAAAAAAAAAAACAACTTGGTTAAGGTTAGGAAACACAAATAATGTTATCTCGAAACAAAAAAACAACAGCAGTCTCCTCTGTCAAAATCACACACTTGACCCATCCATCCACACCGGCTTTGTTTCATATTTGCTGAAACTTTCACTATATCCTGATAGTAGTACATGAGACAGATAATCTGTGAAATCAGGTTCATCTGGCTCCTCCTAGTGCTCCTCCTCCAGAAAATATGACAAAACTACTACTGCAGCTTTAAAACTAAAGTAACATGAAAATGTAAGTGGTACAAAGTACAGATATTTGTGTAAAAATGTAGGGGGATAAAAGTTGTATCTGTACTCAAGTAAAGTACAGATACCTGAAACAATGATCTAAGTACAGTAGCAAATTATTTGTACTTCTAAGTATAACAATGAAATGCTCAGTGTGATGGATTACTACTTACCTCAAGGATGTGTAAAGCCCCAGCAAACAGAATTTCATTATAGTGAAATTAATGTATAACAGGAAAACACATACAATAGAGGATTTGTGGTAAACATGGAAAAACACTGGTATGGCCCGCTGAAAGCTTCTATTTGATGATGCTGCTAGAGTGCAGCTTACTTGTGCTCCAATTTGATACAGTAGACTGCACTGTACCTAATGTCTGTGTGTGTGTGTGTGTGTGTGTGTGTGTGTGTGTGTGTGTGTGTGTGTGTGTGTGAGGTCTCTTCCTGCTGTAGAACGTGATGCATTATTAATCTTGTCTAAATGACTGGGCTGACTGTATAGCTCTCTCTCCACCTTCCTCTCCTCACACCATGGGTCTGAGCAGGGCTGTTTTTGTCTTTCTGCTCACAGTTTCTTATCCCTTCAGAATCAATAGGTTGAAAAGGTTGTCATGAAAACAGATTGAATGCCAAATAAGAGGTGTAGGCTCTCTTTTAAAGTGAAACAATATCTCCACTCCCTTTAGGAGAGGCATGTTCTCTGTAGTGATTCCTGACTCTGTAATGTTTGGACTCACCTATGGGATTGTATTTTGAAAGATCTAAAAAAAAAACACTGTATTTTATCAACACAATCTTGAAGAAATTACATTTATATACGACTAATTTGCAGCAGCAAATAAGTTTTGTATGACACGTAATGACGTATGATATAATGATTATATTTGAATTAACAGAACAAGAAAAAGTTGTTAATTAAATGTACCTGGCAAGTTTTAAAATTGTTGATATTGAACAAAATTTGTTTTCCACCAAAATATAATTCAATGTTAGGGCTTTGTATTGGCAAGAGTCTGGCAATGTGATATGCATCAAGATACAGGGGGTACAATTCAATATATTGCGATATTGTAAGCTAGATAATATATTGTGTTTTCAAATTTTAGGAAAACTGTCTAAAAAAAACCCACACTACTATATGCATACAAAACATTACTTTTTATGCAACCAAAACAGTGGGATCTGCATTTGTATTTATTACAGTCACTGTAACATCCAGCATCATACCCATCAGTTTATATTTACATACACTGCAATCTAGTGGTTGGGGGTTTAAACACAAAAATCAATACAGTGTTTTTGAAAATGAATACAGTATCACAAAATATCACATATTATATTAATATTTTTTCAATATTTTCTTACAGCCCTATTCAATATATTGTGATAAGTTGTGATATTGTAACCAAGGTGAAAATCTAATCTAATTTTGGGAAAACTGTCTTGAAATAAAGAACACACAACCAAATAGATACAAATTTTAATTAAAATGTCATTTTTTTATGCACCAAGAACAGTGGGATCTGCATTTGTATTTATCAATCCAATAGGGTTAGAGTAGGGTTAAATACTAAATGTTTCTTTGAGAATGAAGGAGATTTACTTTACATTATTAACTCAAGGTTCGATTTCTAGCTTTCTGACCATATCTGATGGTCTAGGGCTTCCTACAGCTTTCGCTTTAGTGATGTCATACACCACTCCAGTCTTCCTCTCAGGGGGGTCTGTGGGTACAAGTGCTCTGCTTGCTCTCTAGGGAGAAATGAAGACCGGGGTGGTATATGACATCATAGGAGCTGTCCT